CCTAACCATCACACTGTCGCATTAAGAAAAAAAAGAGGGGGTTTCTACCAAAGCATGTTCCACAGGGTTCTTAATCATCTAGACGTCACTACCTCACCTTAGCCTGACAGAGACCAGACTCGGTCAGGGAACGCAGTAAAACACCTCCTTTGTGAGTATTTTGAGATTGCTGGCTTTGGTGGTGGATTGAGGTGCAGTAGATGTATTTCTCTTTCTGGAGTCAGAAACATTGCTAGCCTTTCATCAATCCTACCTAGCTGCTTTGGGTGGCAAGGGACATTTGTTACTGAGGTCTTTTTTTATGAACGCAATTTTAAGTTTTCATACAGCAGCTAGGGTAAAAAAAGCTGTTTTAAAATTGAAAATAATAAATAAATAAGGAAACCTATCACTGAATGAAAACAGTAACAAATATATAAGCCCCTTGTCAGTATATGTCACATTCTACGGCCGTGACTTTCTACAGAAAGTCCATACACAGCCCAATAGTTGGAATCCGATTAAATACCATAACAGATGTACACAACCTGATCAATTAAATATGTAGTCTAATATTCAAAACAACATGACCCAGCACTTTAACTGAGAGCTCGAGTCTCAGTGCCAGGACTTGACTTTCATTTTTGATTTAATGCAATTTACAAGCATGTATTTCCTCCAAGTTACTTATCTGGGTCATTATTTATGTCTTCTGAAATGTGGACAACAGAAGCACTAGAGCATGAAGTTTAACCAGACTTCAAAAACCCCAGAAGAAATTTAGATTATGATCTGTATGGGATTAGGCCATGAATACTTCACTATCTTTGACTCCCTTACTGGCAGATAAATAACATATCCCCATCTTCTTTGTGTCTGAACTTTGAGACGGGATTAGCACCAGTTACTAGAGATTGGCAAAAGAGATTATTATTATGGAGAGATTATTGACCGGCATTTAATTTCTGGAAGTTAAAAACAGAACAGTGCTTTTATTAGACAGTGCTTTTATTAGACATCTTGAGCAGGAGACGGACTAATAAGGGAGTCTGAATCTCAATACGGAGCTTTGGATGAAGAATACAGTCACTACACTGCAGTTGCTGGATACAAAAATAAATCTTGTTGGCAGTAAAGCGATTATGTTGGAAATAGAAAAGGAGTACTTGTGGCACCTTAGAGACTAACCAATTTATTTGAGCATGAGCTTTCGTGAGCTACAGCTCACTTCATCGGATGTAGCTCACGAAAGCTCATGCTCAAATAAATTGGTTAGTCTCTAAGGTGCCACAAGTACTCCTTTTCTTTTTGCGAATACAGACTAACACGGCTGTTACTCTGAAACCTGTCATTATGTTGGAAATGCCGATTGTGGTGTTGTAAAAGGTTTTAAACTCTTGAAAACATGTTGAGAAGCTGAAAATTGTAGATTTACAGTCTTTCAGGCAGGCAGTAAGGTGTAAAGATTAAGTCTTTTTACTGTTATGAGGTTTTAGAGTTTTTATGAGTTTAAGAGCTCCTTTAGGGTATTTATTTCATATCGATAAGGACTATAGCATTGCAGTGCAGGCCCCAAATCCAAAACAGATTGATAAATATAATTTATCTGAAATAATATGTCCGACATGCTGACGTTTAGCACCTCCATTCTAGACGATATGACATTTAAGGCAGTGAATTAGAAAACAAAACCTCTGCCATATAAAGGAAGGGAACAGGAGGCATATTCTTCCTGATGGCTGTGAGCAAGTAGATTGCAAAGGTACAAATACTGTACTATATTTATGAGAGACTGAAGGGCAAGGATTGTTCATTAGGGCATCGCTGCATTTTATCCAGTGCATCTTTTGGTCTCCCTTGAATGAAAATAATATATCTTACCTAATTATGACAAAATACAGGATTTAATATACCAAAAGAATGGATGGATACTGAGAAATATTCTTTGTTGGAAAGAAAATGTCATTCAGATATTTGATTTGGAACCATCCCACAAGATGGAAATGCAGAATTCTCTACAGGCATTTCGTTAAACCTGTTATATGTAAAATGTTTACTCCTACTTTCCCTCCCATCACTCTCAGGACTGAGTAGCAATTTTTAAAAAAATGAGAATTACTGAATGACAGACTGATCTCAAAAATTGTAATTAGTAGGCATATTTAATGATATCAGGCTATTTGTATTATGTTATTAATGCCTAATTTAATTAGGAACAGCCTGGCAGAACCATTAATAAACAGTTGGATTTTAACTTTAAAATTACTATGCAGGTAATTCCAAGAATAACAAAAAGTATTTAATAAGAAATTAACACATTGGTATTATAATCAGTCTCTTGTACACTTTTATCATCTCATCTAATATATGCAATCATTTCTGAGATTGTATTCTCTACAGGATCTCTCTTTCTTGAAATATTTTCATTCCTTCCAAAGTCAATATTGTTTAAAAACCACAACACTCTTCAGCTCTCTACATACTCATTATATTATATATTATAGTGGTGCAGTTAGTGGAGTCTTGATCATCCACTTAAGGAATGCTGCTGTAGGATGTGGGGGAAATCCTGACCCAAGTATATATATTGACGTATACTGTACATGTTGACGTATCAGAGCAACATTATGGCATCTAGGTCTCTTCTAGGCTTCATTAATGTGGTATACCATCTGGCTTAGCATGCTATCTAGGGCCATTATTCATGACATTCACACAGCAGTACTCAACAATCTAACTACAGTTTCCTGCAGAAATGAACCAGAACTGGAACATTCAGATCTGGATATGAACTTACCTATAGTTGGAAACCATTCCATTTGCGCCCCTCTCTAATTCCACATTAACACCACACTTTCCATGCTACATGAGGCACATAAAACACAATTTAGATAAAATATTTATATAATTTGGCTTTTGTACTGTATCTTACTATAAAACACAACTACAATATATGCTTTCTGACTGGAATGATGGCAAGATAATGTTCTTAAAAGCATGTACAAGACAAGTGAGATTACATGAAAGTTAGTTTCAACATCTGACCATGAGTAGGGAAATAGATTATTCCCCAGCTCACCGACACATCCTTCTCCATGAAGTCTATTCCAGAGACCCTTAAGGGAGAGGAAGAGGTGATTTAATCATAGACTCCTAGAATTGTAGCACTGGAAGGGACCTCGAGAGGTCATCTAGTCCAGTCCCCTGCACTCAAGGCAGGACTAAGTATTATCTAGATCATCCCTGACAGGTGTTTGTCTAACCTGCTCTTAAAAGTCTCCAATGTCAGAGATCTGATTCTCTTCCTCCATCTAACCGCAAACACAAAAATGCAACCAAGAGAAAGAATTTTTCCTATTCCTTTTAACAAGTAGGGGCAAGAGGTCCCTTCCCCCCTCCCCCCGCATCTGTCTCTGGTGACTAGGGATACCATGGGGTATAGAGGAAAATATGTTCTTCTGCTTCTTCAAGCAGACAGTCTCACAAGGCTGGGGAAATGAGTTCTTCCAGACTATGGGATACATCCCTGGAGACTGCACCTTGACACAATGGGAAGGCTTGGGTGTTCCAATAACGCCAAGCACTATTGCAGCAGGAGTTTTAACTACCAGTCGGGCCATCTGAACTGAACAGGTCAAAGGGAAGGTACCAGATGAAAGGCAGTCCACTGGCCCTCCAGATTGAGGCTTGAGTGATAGGCCAACAATCTATCCTTATAAAAAAGTTAAGTTACAGAAACATAACAAGGTAGCTATTCCGGCAAACAGCATTACAGTCAGGGATGGCAGAGGCTTGTTTGTGCCGTAAGCAATGTTTGATGGTGTGGGAAGGATTCAGAGGGGATACCTAGTCCCAGGAGGGTAGAGAGTCAGCTCCAGGATTGAGAACTGTGGTGTGTGGGAGACAACATCCTTTCCTTCTCTTCAAGCTCCTTTGCTACTCTCTACCCTACACGAGGTCTTAGGAGAGGTTGGTTTGGCCTTTTCCAGCAGACTGATCTATCTCCTCAGACAACAGTGGACCCAATATCAACTGCCTACATGCTTCAAAAAAGTAACTTAGATGGATTAGGGTCCCACTTCAGCAAACTTTTTTAAAGACAAAATTGACTCAGGTGAAAGTTTGTTATTTTTTTCAATTACTTTAATAGACTTCAGGGAGGGCAGATGGAAAAATGATTCAAATAATTTCTAATAGTGGGTTTGGGTCCAACCTGAGAGAATGCCCCTCTCTCTGTGCATTGTGATGATGACTAAGATTAGCTGCAGCATTCTGGTTGACGGTGCCCAGTTTTGCACTTGATAACAGAGATGGAAAGCCTCTCAGCTGTGGAACTTAGGTGATTATTAGAGTGCAAGTTTGCTGACCTTCAGTGCAAGGTTCATGTTCCTTACCAGGTATTTGCTTGACCTTAGTTTATGGATTCTGGTGGGTGATAGAGGGATAGTTATACTTCCTGTCCATTGAGGAGAGGAGTCCTATTAATTGTTTGCTTTGAAGGTAGGTAAGGCACTAAGAAGCCCACTGTTAAATATAACCAAAGCTAATGTAAGTGAAAAAGCTCTCTGAAACACATCTAATATAACAGCTTTGTACATACATTTTGGACGAAGAGCAACTTGTATTTTGGGTGGCTGCCTGAGAAATTCCAAAAGGTTGAAAAAGTTTCATCCGTAACCTTGAAGAGCTGCATCCAAACTTCTGCCTGGTTTTCAAATGTGCAAGATGCCCACAGTTCCCACTGATTTTGATGGGAACCAAGGATACTCAATATTACTGACAAAAATCAGACCTCTTTTTCTTTCACTAGAAAATGAGCATCTTCCATCTACTAGAATACACTTATTTAACTGTTAACAGCATTTCTACAGTATTCATCACCATAGACTAAAAGCAGCTGGTAATGTGCTTTGATATGATCTAATCAGTTAATCACTTCATTTTCACAAAGGCATAAAACACAAACCAAATATATTATTAATACTTATAAATAGTATATTTGTAAAAAATATTGAGGACATACATGATTTAAATAAATTACGAAACAATACATAAAAATTCAAAAATGTTTTCTATTACAAGAGAGTTCAGACAATTTGGAATGAAATTTACACACTTACACAGCTTTAAATATTTCTCATTACCTAAGATATACCTTTTAAGGAATCTAACACAAAAATGTATCAGGCCAAATGCGGTCTGATATAATTGGGTATATAATTCTGTTCAAGTGCTTGGAGTTGTCATGGATAAAATCGGTCAACTGTCCTGTCAAATAAATACAGTTTTGGGTTCCCATAGGAACTAAAAGATTTACCTGTCCAGTACTTAATAAACATTCCTAAAACAGTAAAGTCCAACTGGTCTTAAAACTGCAAAGTTTAACAGTGAAACTTATTTTTCTTTAGAAACTACAGAATGATACTGTTTTTCATCAACTTTCTTAAGAACTTGTTTTGCTAATGCAATACAATTACCAAATAGTTGCCAGCATTTCAACATCTTTCTATTCTCCATGGTCCATTCTTTTGTGTAATTGTCAATTAATTATAAGTACAATTTTAAAATAATTTGTACCTCATACCACTTAACCTATAGGTCATGAACATTTATTTTGCAAAATATTTGAAATTTGGAAATGCTCCTTTTTCCTTTATAGGACCTAAACAAGGCAGTTATTGATCTACGAATAAGCAATATTAAGACCTCATTTATTATGTTCTTTTATTATTTGCAGGCTTAAGCATTTGGATTGTTCTGCATTTGGATCGTTCCAAGTCATTTCATTAAAATTTTGGGCCTGATAGCTTGCAAAGGAGAATATGCCAAATTCTGTGGTAATTTATACTGCCTGTAATCCCTTTAGCTTGAACAGAATTACATAGGATATAAATCAGTACAGACTTTGACAGAATGATTTCTCTGTGCTGGAACAAACACACTGAAATGTTGCAAATTTATGGATATTTTGTGCCAGATTGGGAAATTAATGCTCAACATGATTATATATTACTTCTACCCAAAATAATCATGTACAAACCCAAAGAAAAATAAAATATGTAAGACATATGTAAAACCGCTGGCTATTTTAATCTTCAAATCTTTATTTTTTGTTAATTAGAATTTGCAATACTAAAATTTAGGTTCCCTTTGGTGACATCACACTGGGTCAGTTGGTGAAGGTATACTTTAAACATAAGCCTATACAAACTATAGTACAGTTTCTTCTAAAAGCCAAATGCAGTTTTTTCCTCAATGACTTCAGTCACCATTTAGCTGTATTAAATAGCATTAAAAATCTTCTCTCTCAACACACTGAAGCTAAACAATATAAAAGAGAATTCTCTGCTTACAATCTTCAATCCTCCATGAATTCCTTTCCTCTCTTCTATAAATTATTTAAACTGTGGACTGGAAACTAGTTATTGATACATCTGTATCATGGATGGAGCCCGACCAAAATCCTGGATATACCACCAAAAAAAATTGGGTGTTCAAAATCCAGAACTGGAATTTTTACAATTCTGATAATATATGGTCTCAACAGCTACAATATAAAATTCTTACAGTCCCCCAAATCCCAATTTCCATCATAAGGTAGCTAAGGTGCAAAGTAATATAAGGGCATATCAATCATTTTTAAAATTAAGCTAGACTTCTGCTATATTTTTACAGTGACTTACATTGAAAAGTACAGGGTTTTGTGAAATCTCTATAAACAGAAAATTGTAAAGCAGGTTTCCTAGATTCCACACAGAATCTGATAAAGCCCCTTCCTTACAGGCATTTCTCTTTTCAACAGTCAGAGTAAAACTTTCCAAGGTGCTCAAAACAACAAAAGAAAAGTTGGAGCTGATTCTCTTCCCATTTATGCTTTTGTAATTCTATTAAATTCTCTAAAGTAATTTCTAATTTACATCAGAGCAGACAAGTGAATCAGGTCCATCAGAGCAGACAAGTGAATCAGGTCCATTATATCTGAACAGGATTTAACTCTTTCAGCAGGACAGAGTTATGCCGTAATTTCAAATTATGCACGTAATTAGTAAACAGCAGATAAAATAGAAGTGAATGGAAACAACAGAAACACACTACACATATGGACAGATATTGTATATATTACACAGTATTTTATTTTTGGTTTCAATTTATAAACAATTTAAAAACTTAATTTCAAATATTTAAAAATATACACCCTGAAATCATTTGACTTTGAAACTTTTACATTGTTTAAATAAGTACAAGCAGTATGAAATAATTATGCTGGAATATATGACTAATTCAAATATTTGAATACTGCATTTTCCCTTAACTTGGAGGGAAATTTCTTATCAATATTCTCATGGATAGTCCAACCTCTTGAAGCAGCTGCACACATTGTTTTGGTATGGTAAATGCTTTTCAGAAAAAAGAAAAAAGAAAAAAAACTAAGAGATCCCTTTGAAAATATTGTGTGTTGACAACATTCTTGAACACGCTGTAAAATATTGTGGGTTAGACACTTCCGCTACAGTACTCAGCACACGTGGAAATTTCATGCTTAATGTTTACAAAGTGGCAAACAGTGCAAAGATATGGCCACAGTTTTTTAAAATAAACTTCTGTTTTCTTCTTTGACTCACAGTTCTGTCACTACTGAAGCTGTTCACTGTTTCTTCTGTTTTCTTACATAAATTCTCGATCCAAGTGATACTATTATGCATGGTCCTAGCTAACTCTGATGTTTGATGTGAATTATTGACTCACATATTCTTTCCAGATGTTATAAGTTTCCCAAAGCCTTCTTGATGAGAAAAAGCATATGCAGATCTTCTTGAGTTTGTTCTGTACACCCGACGCATGTAGTTCTGTAATGGTTTCTGCTTCTTCCTAGCCTTCTGCAACTTCCGAACCTTAGGGGAAAAGTTTCCATTGATATGTGAAATTATTTTTGTGTTGTAAATGCTGACTAATTTTGAGATCTCGGTTATATTGGTGGGGCCTTTATAATGAAAAAACAAAACAAAAAACAACAACACAGGTGAGTTTCCAGTGGATTCCAAAGTAAAAACATGTGCTGAAGCCATCAGTGGAGTGTTAGAGAGGCACTGTATTCTACTGGGATGAGCAAAGGCCATGGGGAAGATTCTTGAGGCACAGCACAGAACTTGCAGCCCGGAGAAACTGGGGACTAAAATGGCTTTAACCCACCTTCATATACTCCCAGTCCTGGGGCATCTGGCATAACTGCAACAGCTTTGGGGCCTGTCTGAGTTATTCCATGGGCTGCACTATGGGCAATAGCACTCCCTGGAATCTCTGCAGTGCTGCAGCCTTGCCTCCTATGCCAGAGTTTATGAGGAGGTCCTTGGAAAGCAGCCTTATGCCTGTCTTCCCCAATGCTTGCACCAAGGGACTGCCTCCACAGCTGAATCAGGGCTTTTAGGGCCCCATTATGCCGTTTCAGCCCAGAGAAGTATAGAGGCCGGGGTGTGGGGTGAAGGTCTCCCGCCTAGAAGGCAAGAGTTCTAATACTAGCTCTGTCACTGATTCTCTCTGTGGCCTGGCACAAATCACTTAATCTCACTCTCTTTTTCAAACCTGTAAGATAGGAATAATAACACTCAAATGTCTGTTGTGAGGAGTTTTTAGTTAGTGTTCATAACAGCACTTTGAAGACGTGAAATGCTACCTAAGTGCTATTAAAAGCTAATTTGCCACCTTGATGTCACTGAAATCAGAGAATTAAAGAGAACATTTGGACCATTTTGTCAACTGCTTTCCCCTCCCCCATAATTTAAAATTTTGAAAATAAACTCACAGTATATATTGGTGTAGAACTGTGACCTCACCTGACATTCTGTTACAGTAGTTTATACCCAATAACTTGAGTAACTTGAGGATTATTATATTGCTTGATAAATTACCATGTAGATGGTATATACTTTACAACTTTACTTTTCATGTGTTTTATGAATAGTGAAGGAATGGCAGAAAACTATCTATTTGTTGTTAAGGTTTGGCATGGATTAGAATTACCTGGATTTCTATTCCAATAAATGTTAACCAGCAGTTTATGTGAACTATCCCTCTGAAGTCAGTGAGATTATTCACATGTGTAAGGTAAACAACATTTGGCCCAAACTGTAAGCCATTAAATCAACTGTTGGGATGGGACATCACTTATTATTCACTCTTAGGAATGTAAAACCTTGGGACATATTATGCTATCAGTAATTATGCAGAAGCTCCCATATAAATTAGTTTGCTTAAAACATACTGGCCCAACATTGCCCTTTGCTTGTGTGTTTTAACTTCTTTTAAATTTATAATTAAAAAGTTAAAAAAAATTGCTGACCCAAAGGTCTATTATGAATTATTATTTTTCACTTCTTGCACATGCCAAACTATATAGAGTCGATGGTGATGCTTTGAGAGAACTAATGGTATATTTTCCCCCAGTAGTTATGTAAGAACTATAAATTCTGTCTGTTTGGAAAAAATTTAGTTCCCTCTATATGGGGGATGCAATGATAAAGAAAAACTCTCACATTATAGGATTAAGTCATACCTGATCAGTTTGCGTTGGATTTAAATCTTCCTTCAAAAATCGGAATGTTATTACAGGCATGACTGAAACCACAGTAGTCAAGAGGATGACGAGCCAAACACTTATCTGGCCCAGGGAATTACGGGAATTTCCTATTAACACAAGAAAATGAAACATATTTGTTAGGAGTACAAGGCTGTTGTTAATAGTTTGCAGTTGTGAGACATATTAAATTATATTTTCTTTATGTTAACATATGTTTCTGTTACAAAAATGCTTGAATTTTTCTCGAGATACAAATGGTTACTGCTGAAATTACAAAATTATTTGGCAACTTCTAAAATATCACATAATCCAAAAATGCAAGATGGATTCCAAAGTTAGTGGCTGCACTGATGAACACAAGAGTAGCATAAGAAGACGCTGGTGGCACTGCTATTTTTTTTTCTTCATATCAGATTCCTCATCTGGTTTTGAACTGTCAGATTGTTTGGTTTCTGTTCGAATGGCCAGATGACAATCTCTGCTCTTTGGACCAATACTCTGACCACCTTATTCTTCTTTCACATATGATTCATGAGAGGGTTACATTTAAAGTATCTACTCTGTATTAGGCCCTAATTCTGAAGCACCATCAAATGGTATCAATTGGCTTTAAACCGCTAAAGCCACATTAAAAGCTGTGTCCTAAAGAACAAAGGAGCCATATCCAGTTGCTTGTCACCTGAGACATCCAACAGACATTTAACCAACGTTTTCATTAAGAAATATGCACATTTTCAACCCATCTAGTTAATTATTTTCATTTATTTAATACTACCTCATTTCCCTCCCAAATCACACTCAGGTGCTCTATGTGGTCCAAAATGGTCCAACCTACACTATAGACAGGTCACAGTGGCATTATTCAGCCCAAGAGTGACTAGATTTCCAGTTGACCATTTAGCAAATCTGCCAAGTTTGTACTGGTGAGTTTGCTAATGGTATCCTGTGGACTAAAACAATTGATCCATTTGTGCCATCAGAAACATTCTACATCATTTAACCATGACTCTGATTATCAAGATTTCCAAGCGTACATGGTAGCATGACTAGCTGCACCATTAAAAAAAGTTTATATTCTTCTGAGATTTGGTGGACACACTTTTAGGATAGTATTGTTCAAAGTCTGATTGGAAATGCACAAAGTGTAAGGAATGTAGGACCGGAATTTGTTCATGAAGGTTCTTCTGAGGTTTGGATAGTGGCAGGTACCATATCACACTACCAAATTCCATATTGCTCCAGCTGTCCTTATTAGCATAAACAAACTCATCTCAAGTCATCAAATAAGTTTGGAAGTTCCTTGATGCTTTAAGCCTCCAGGAGTTGTTAAAAAAAACAGAAATTTCACTTCCGGTAGCTTGCATTTGGCTACAAAAAATACATTTGAAAGAACATAGTCATCATTTGACTTCAGTGAAGTCCTGCTGGGACTCAGTAATTACTGGAGTGGCCTTGTATGGCACAGCTGCTGCACAAACTACATCCTCTCAGCAAATTGTTCTGACCCCATTGTGCACAGGAATTTTGCGGATTCCTGGGATGGTGGGGGTTCTGGCCAGTGCTCTGAGCAGGCAAGAAAGAAAAAAACTCTCCAAAATGTAAATTTCACTTCACTAATTTACTTATTCTGTAAAGGCCTCTCAATACAGATAGGATGCTTTTGCAAACTTGAAAAGCATTAACATTACTTGAACAAAGTTTCCCTTCCATATCTGCGATTCTTCTATATACTTATGAGATCTCACTCTACATAGATTGTGGCAAATTGCATAAATATTGCCTGTATAATCTCATACCAGGTAATAGACTCACCTACAAAAGGAAAGTGGTTTGGGAATATAACAAAAATCCCATCACTGTGCATTGCAAATAAAATAGCAAAATACACAGCTATACTACCCAAGATGAAAAAACGATTGATGGCAGTCCAGTAACTGGTATCCAAGGCTATCTGCAAATAAAATAAGACAAAACATATTATACCAAGAATCTTCAAGTGGTTTAGAAAATATACTACATATCCTATTGAGTGGAGTGTTATGTATCTAAACAGAGAAGGGATTTGGGATTTTTTTAAAATGTTAATTCAGTGTTCTGGATCTGTTTGGTACTTTTTAGTTTTTCCCATCACATGTTCTCTTTTTCAAAACAATTTAATTAAAGATTTAATTGAAAAATGCACCAAAACTGTAGCAGACAACATATTCTATCTCCTCCCCATGCACGCATAGTTTTTAAGAATTCAGTTTAACTTTCAAATGAATTGTTCTTAAAAACAGATTAATACTTATTTCTGAGTTTATGTATATTCAAATCGGGGTGCAAGTTTTTAGTTATATTCAAGTCAGGGAAGCAAGTTTTGTATCTTCCAAACAATAAAAAGTAAATTTAGGAACCAAGATGCAAATAACATTAACTATATGCCATCATGTAGCTCACTTCAGGACTCTGTTTTGCATGTTTTTGTGCCGGGAGAATAATTTACTTCAGAATAAGTAACTTTTTCTCCTGCTGGTATTAGCTCACCTTAACTGATCACTGTCGTTATATTGTGCATGGTAACACCCATTGTTTCATGTTTTCTGTGTATATAAAATCTCCCCACTGTATTTTCCACTACATGCATCAGATGAAGTGAGCTGTAGTTCACAAAAGCTTATGCTCAAATAAATTTGTTAGTCTCTAAGGTGCCACAAGTCCTCCTGTTCTTTTTGCGGATACAGACTAACACGGCTGCTACTCTGAAACCCTTCTGAAAAGTGTTCATCCAGAGGTGATATGGTGTTTTTGTCTTATAAGTTTTTCTGTGTAAGTTCGTTCAAGAGCATAGTGATTGTCTCGTTTTCCCCACATAGTTGTTATTGGGGCATTTAGGGCATTTACCTGCAACACTCTGGACATGTCTACAATGCAATTAAAAATGTGCGGCTGGCTCATGCCAGCTGACTTGGGCTCACAGGGCTCAGGCTAAGGGGCTGTTTAATTGCCGTGTAGACATTCGGGCTCAGGCTGCAGCCTGAGCTCTGGGACCTTCCCACTTCACAGGGTCCTAGAGCTGCAATTAAACAGCCCCTTATCCAGAGCCCCATGAGCCTGCGTCCACTTGCATGGGCCAACTGAGGTTTTTAATCGCATTGTAGACATATCCTCTGAGTACATGTCCCAGCCCTGAAGAAGAGCTCTGTGTAAGCTCGAAAACTTGTCTCTGTCACGAACAGAAGTTGGTCCAATAAAAGATATTACATCACCCACCTTGTCTCTCTATTATTCTGGGACCAACACGGCTACAACAACACTGCATTCAGAATAATTGGCATAGAAATTGCTAATGTTAAAACTCAAAATGCGAAAAGAAAAAAAAAAAAAATAGGGCCAGTTCTGAGTTTTAACATTAACAGTTTCTTACATTTGTTCCTTATATGCATATGCAGGATCTAACAGAAGTGAGTAAAATTCTCATTATGAAACCCCAAACCATATCAAACCCATCTGGATTGGCATTTCATCATAAATAAGAATCATCCTAGATTTGACAAAAGGTTTGTGGAAGTTCTTCACCCTTTCACAGAATCCTGGAGCAATTCAACAGTCTGTGGAAACCACACAAAACTCATCAGTTTTGTTTGAATTTCCTATGAGATTTGGAATTCAAGGGTATCACAATCTCAACCCAAAACTCAGGGGATAGAAAACACATGAATCAGTACTGAAAAAATACTTTATACGAATCCCTGTATACCAAAACTACTGAGCTCTGCAGAGCTCTAATATCAATAAAAGTATTATCACCCCTTTACTCCACATACACAGTGGTAGATTTTACAGTACATGTAGTAATCTATGACAGCACAAGTGAGATTAGAATCAGGCCTAAAATGTGAAAGCTCTTTTCAGAAAGCTTTATAATATTTAGGAACAAAACATGAAAAGGTAGAAAGAATGGTTTTGTGGTTAATTCAAAGAAATAGGAGCCACAAGACCTGGGTGGTATTGCAAGATCTGCCACACACTTCCCTGGGTGGCCTTGTACAAATCACTTAGTTGCTCTGGGTCCCAGATTCCCTCTCTGTAAAATGTGGTTAGTACCACAGCTGTATTGTCAGGCTCAAGTCAATAATATTAGTAAATTGCTTTGAGATTCTAAGGAGGAAGGTGCTATACTATATAAACACAATTCTGCTCTGCAATGACAGATCATTCTGAAATCCGCTTTCCTTTACATTATCCAAGAAATATGAATCTGCCAAGCTTCTTGTGTTATTTAATGAACATACCACTTAAACTGAATCCTGACCTTATCTTGATTTATGGCATCCCAAAGCTTACATGTAACCACTACATGCATTCATTACATGCTTCCTTATCAAAAGCACATTCTGAATTCTTGAGTAATTTGTGAAAATTATAGCTAACTACAAATAATATATTACCAACTTATTATGTCAGTGTGAGCAGCTGCTCAGTCCCACCATAACACAAGGTGACTGCGTATCTAAAGAAAAACACAATACAGCACTCTGACAGGGTATTTAACTAAATGTTTCTCAGCTCTCCCTCTTCTCCCCTGTCCCCATGTCCAGAGCAAGGACACAAAGGCTGATAGAAAGAGAGCAATCTAGTAAATATTCAGTTCCAGAATCTAAATTATTCCCTCCTGCCTGGTGGATCAATCAAGTTTGGCCAACGTGGCTACTTCTTATTGGTAGGTCAGCTGTTCCCAAAGCCACCACTCTAATCCCCTCTCTCTTTTATTTCTTAATTTTGCTCATCAGGCCCCTGTTCTCCTGGGAGACTTTAAGCAGCCTTTCCTAGAGGTCAATATCTTCATGCCAGACAAGTAAAATCAAGACACAGTGGGACAGGTTCTCTTTCTTAATTCCAGGGGAAAACTTTAACTTGTTCACCACCCAGTAATGCTTGGGATTTATCCATTACAATCCTTTGCAGTCAGCATTAAAATAACTCACAAAAGGGAATGGTTTTATCTCACAGAAAACTATTATGGTGAACTGACTCTGACAAATATGTTTATTACCATCCAGACTCTCTCAAATTGTTTAAGGCCTCAATGGGGTCAGTATTCTCAGATAAGTCTTTGATTACTCTGCTCTTTACCCTATACTCTGAAAAACATATCGAGCTGATGAAGCTGTTTCTAAGAGGAGGAACACCCTAGTTTAGACCATTAAGTATTTATATGTGAATTTTAGAAATTGTCTCAATCCCCTACAACTTCAAGTGTAGGTGTCACTTTTAACAGGAATTTCTGTATTTAGAAATGAAAAAAAAAATACTGAAAAAACTCAACACTGAACACAAATCTTTATTTTTTACCTGAACACTGACTACAATTACTAAAGATGTTGCAACTGTGATAGCAAAAGACTGGTAGTCAGCAATATGTTTTCCATCTTCACCAGCTGTGTAATAAAATGCTCCATAAGGGATGAAGAAAAGGGTAAAAGAGGTGTAGATTCCATGTGCTATGCAGATGAAAAATTTGCGTTTATTGAAGAGTAGATTTAGTTGCCCAGGTTCATAGAGTTTTGCATAATCCATGCTATTCTGCTCATTCACATCCTGTAACAAATCCATTTGAAGAACGTGTTACTTTAATAGTGTCAGAAAATATTAAAGTTTGTATGATACAGAGTGAGTAAAATGTCTGTGCCTTTAATAAAGGGCAGGAGGAATTTCCCTTAACTATAGTACCTTCTCAGAACTGAAGTGTGCTTAGAGCTAGGGAAGAAGATTCTCTTTCCTACTCTGTCCCACTAGCGCTGCAAAGGAGATGGAATATGGCCATATCTGCCCTGATGGGGTATCCACTGACATGGGGGAGTCTCCAATAAACATGCAGCCAGCATAGCTGGCTTCTATGCTATGTCCTCACTTCCCTGATCTTGGTATAGGGAGCAACAGGGGCAGGGAAGGGTTGTAGACAGAACACAGTGCTCTTCAGCAATCGCCGGATGGGGGAACAGTCTATTGCTCAGGCTAAGGTTTAGGCTTGTCCAAAACCAGTCAAAGAATCATGAGCCCACAGCCAGCTTCTTAAAGGACTACTGCCTGATCCTGGGGCCATTTGGGGGCTGGTTCCCAGCATAAATTAGAATAGCCTGAGGGGCAGATAAATAAAGGGGATTTAATTATACATTATTTGCATTTAAAACTGACTTGTTAATGATGCTATCAACAGCATTTACTGCTTCCATTTTAGACATTTAAGACATGCTATAAATAAGATAAAATTGTACCTGGTCGAACAAACCCATAGCTAGTACAGGCAGCGAAGTATAGACAATGTTGAAGAGGGTAATAAACCACTGGTCATAAACTGTCTGAAAAGAAGATGCAGTTGATAAAGTGAACAAGTGTCATTTTTAAAACTTTTCACTATTATTATTTGGCACAATGGAACACACAACAGGATGCTTTATATCTGCTCTCATGAACAGGATAACTGAATTTTGAAAATAGGTAAAATAATGAATATCTAAGAGTTTAGTGATTTGCTTTCTATGCCAGGGGTTATCCTATAGTATTTCATACCATACTTAATTATGAAAAATGGGGTAGCTGGCAAATCCACAATGTTTAATAAGCTGCTTGGTTAATGTATTTTTCATCTACCCCAGAAAAAGATGTGATCTTATACCCAGTCTGGAAATGGCAGAGTGACACAAAGGGACGATTATTGAACAGCATTATCAAAATCCCAGACAATCTCATATTTTTTACTACACACTTGTAGCACACTTGGCTGCTTAACAGGGTTCAGGCATGTGGTATGGGGAAGGGATCTGGCCATCCCACATTCAAGTCAACTTCCCCTGTAACCCTTGAGCAGGCTCGGTACATCTTAGCTCATCAACAGGAAGGATGTCTAGTTCCAGCCAAGGAAAGATGGCCAAGTCTGAATTAAAGGTGAAAGCTTGAAGATCCTCTACAAGGATCAATTTGGATTTATGCCTGATCCTTCCCAGCAACATGAAAACACCAGTCCCCATTGCTAAGTTTATACGAACAATAACTTGCAAATCCATTTAGTGATGAAGGCCTTTTTCTAAGCACCCCTCATTTTAAAGTTGCACATTATTTATAGGTTTCAGAGTAACAGCCGTGTTAGTCTGTATTCGCAAAAAGAAAGGGAGTACTTGTGGCACCTTAGAGACTAACCAATTTATTTGAGCACAAGCTTTTGAGCTGTAGCTCACGAAAGCTTATGCTCAAATAAATTGGTTAGTCTCTAAGGTGCCACAAGTACTCCCTTTCTTTTTACTTTATTTATACTGCTTTTTAGTTTCCTTTACATTAAAGTTATAAAGCTATTTTTATTATGAAAAGTCTGTCTTGCAGAAAACATATTACAGAATAAATAAGAGGTGCCCTGCTCCATCTGTTCTTTATTTGTGCAATTAGCAGAAATACACTCGAGAAATGCAGAAGGAATTGAACATTCTTCAACATACAGTGCTTCTTTCTGCACTTTTAGCCAGTCACTATATCTGCTAAGAGCTCTGGATAACTATTTCACAGGTAATCAAAACCTTTGCGGTTATCAAAACCTTTGAGACTAGTCTAATAGTCACATGCTATTTTCATATTTTCAACTGTGACTTGTTTATATTGTTTGGCATACTACAAAGGTTTTTTTTATATTCATGGACAGGATAATTGTTTCCATATTCTTTTTAAAAAGCTTTCCCTTAAATCTCTGTAGTGTTGACAATGGCATATTGTCATCAGATAGTCTCATTTCTTAAGCAAACAATGCCAGTAGTTGCAACTGGTTTGATTCATAACTTTCCTAAATAAGGCCCCAAGAAATGTTCTGGTGCAAGCACTTAAAAATGTGTGTCTTCACTGATATCTAAGAGTCCACATATGTGTACACAAAAGTGTAGAAGGTTGCAAGAGCACAACATAGAAGCAGTTGCCTTAAATTTATGCTCCCTGTGTGGGTACTGGAACCCCACATGTGGTGCCTGATTCAACTCCCACTGAGGTCTATGATAGACTGTCTATTGACTTCAGTGGTAGCTTGATCAGGCCCCAAAAGTACACACCCATCTCATGAACCAGTGCACTATCCCTGATTCACTGTCTACAGTCTTGTCAGACTCTAGTGCCAGCAGGCTGTGGCAGAGATTAAGTTCTCTAATCTATGTATCTATCTATATGGCCTCCATTACCATGATATCTAAGCACCTCAGTTTTTGCTGTACTTCTCTTTACAATATCCCTGTGAGATAGTGTTATATCTTTGCTCTTTACATAACATTAAGAATATGAGGAAACTAAATGGACACGGCTGGGTTCCAACTAACCATATTCTCTAATACACAAACATATAAGACCTGGCTACATATATAAACTGCTACTCTGTGGGGTTCTGGTGGCTTCTGCAATAGAGACAGGAAAGCCCAGTAGAGGGCTCCCGGACTATTTGAAGGGATACTACCCACTCCCCATTCAGTAGGGATTTACTATTATCCCCATTCTAGAGATGGAGAACTGAGACCCTGCTCTGGGCTTGGACAATTGTTCTCTGGCTCTCCTAGCTTCAAGTTCACGTACTGGGGTTACTGGAGGCAACAGAGATTCAAATGTATGTGAGAGGAGAAGAAAGTTTATCACAACTTCAGTTGCAGGCAGGAGGCAGGGCTAGGGATGTGTGTTTTGTGGGGATGTAACTGTAGGAGGACCCTGTCATAAGTGCGAGATATACTGGATAGGGTTCTGCATGTTACTTCACGAGGGGCTGAACCAGGCTGTTGGGTTTCCATTAAAATCAACTAAATATCGAAGTCCTAAAATTGAGACAGCCCTAAAAAATGTGTTCACAGGAAAATTTCCAACAAATTTTTTTATGATGATTCACAAACAAAACTGGACTTTGAATGGAAAACCCATGTTTAAAGAAGATAAGAAATGTTGACATTAAAGAATTATCATGTTTTCCATAACTCCCCCCTTCTAATAGATTAAAGGGTAGAAGGGGGATAACATACTGACTTATAACACTGAAATATAAAATGAAGAATTTCTAATGGTTAGATGAAGAGCTTTGATAGATATTTTTTTAACTATCTGTAATTATGGACAGTGAAAGAGTACAGCTGAGGTAACACTTAGGCCAAGGCATTGCCAGCATAAATGTGGTTTTGCCAATTCTTCTTTTACATAGAATTACTAATATATTTAAAATGATGATATTGCTGACAAGACAATGCTGTGCTGGAAGTTACAAAAACCTGTAACACCAAGAAGTCTTTTTTACTGGGAGAGCTAGGGCAAGGTGACACAAAAAATACCAAGACACCGAAACTGCAGAACGAGAAGAAAAAATGCAGAAGTTGGGTAACTGAAGCTTGCACATGCATAATGTGTGGGTAACCTACAACTCAAAGGGTTGATGTGTTAAGAGCCAATTTGATAAAGATTACTTAATCTGTAATGTAGAAATGTATACAAGACCTAAGTGAACATAGGCCTACACTGGAGAAACACCAGACCAGAAACTGAAGGATGGGACAGAAGGACTAGACCAACAGATCAGGGGAGATGACAACCATCAGAAAGTATTGGAGGATTTCCCAGTGCCCTGAAATGTGGTAACTCAGGCCCTTTACCAATTGCATTTGTAATTGTCTGGCATAAATGTATGCTCAGGCACTTTAAGTCAAAATAACTCTCTCTGAAATTGCATAAATAAAGGCAAAAATTGATTAAGCCTAAATTGGGTGCGCCTGTGACTCAGATTTCCAACTTTTACTCCCAACAAAATCTAGAACTTTCTCTATCGCTGTTATGTACACATCTCAACATTTCAGGCCTAGTTCAGTCACACCAGAGTATCTAAGAGCTGACATAGAATGTTGTACAAAGCTCAACTGCCTGGAATTTGGGCTGGATAATATCCCATGAGAATGCCTGATCCCACAGGATTGTTGTTTCTTTCTGGCTATAGCTGAGTCAGAAATATCCTAAGAACATGGTATTTCCTTATTTATACTTCTGTTTTAGGACAAAACCAAGATCAGCAAAAACACACAGAGTTTGAGGGTGAAGGTGAGAGCCATTTGTTTTATCTGATCCAGTTTGCCCATCCCTCTTGCACATAGAGGTAGCTGGAACTTTTTGACAATTTTTTTTGTCAGAAAATGCAAATTCATCAACATTGAAACTTTGTCAGGAAGGTTTCTCAGGCCCAGGATGGACTATCTGCTTGAGAGAGAGTGGAGACACTCACACCCCGAGTTGGGACACTCACTTCGGATGTGGGAGATCCAGGTTCCATTTCTCACTGCAAATGAGTCACAGCACAGACTAGAACCTGAATCTTCCACACATCCAAGATGCATGCCGTTATCTGTGAGCTATTGGCTATTCTCTCTCACCCGCTCCCTCTCATCTAATTTTTGAAAGGTTTATTTCTGCTATGATACAGAATGAAACCAAATGTCAAAACATTGACATTTTACGAAATGGAATTCTTATTTCCCAGAAAGCATTAACTGCATCCTTTCCCAAAATAGGTAGATTTGGAAATAGGGGAAATACAGAATTTCACACTGAATAGGTCTTGCATGAGAGTCTCCAGGGACTGTTTGCAAACTCATAAACAGGAACCAACTCACTCACACTTGAAATTAAATCTAAAGTAAAATACAATGAATCCCAATCCACCAGCAAAATGACACCACTGCTGTCACTAAGTCTGCATCACAAATCATGGAGTCACCTAAAAGAACATCTCACAGACCCAGATGCCAGAGGAACATATTCCAGAAATTCACATCTGTGATATGCAGCCCACCTACCAGTTATCTTGGCTGGGCCAGGCTGGAGCATATCATCAAAGAGCAACAGTTAGTGATCAAATTCAACAGTGTCAGCAATAATGAGAGGCAACCCAAGGTAGTAAAGAAATACAGCACATCACTTTATGTAATTATACTGCTGCTTTACAGTCAACATTGCATCTAGAAAAGCCTAATCTGTCTATATCTGTCCAAGTGTTTTCAGCTGCAGTGTGGGTAACCGTAAAAGCATATAAAAGAAGATATAGATGTTCAGACTTTTTTTTAGGTCTGATTCTAGGTATATTAGCGCTTCAAATGAATCAAAGAATGGAAGGAGACAAAAAAAAGGGAGAAGACTACAGAGATTTTCATATAAAATCGGACTGTGGATGAAATCCTGCACCCATTCCAGGCAGTAGTTTTGCTACTGACTTCAAAAGGGCCAGCATTTCACCCTATGTTTTCATTAAAAGAAAACTCAAAACTCCAGTGGAGTAAAACATATTCTCTTCTCCTAATAAGCAAATATATTTCTCTTCTCTGGGGAATGGATAGACTGGCAAGGAGTGTCCAAAAATTGTTACCATAATTGGTTAATCTATTGTATCATGTAACTATAGGTGAAAATTTTCCAGTTTGAATTCCTACAATTACATTCCTAAATCTACACGTAGGCACCAAGGTATATGTGTCCTGGTTTTCAGAGGTGCTGAGCAAGTTAGTGGGATTTGTGGGTGCTGAGCATCTGTGAAAATCAGCTACTTACATTCAGGTGTCTAAGTTTAAATTCCTAAGTCCTTTGTACTTTGTAAAATTTCAGCCGTAGTTCTTAACAGTATAAGTCCTCTTCTCCTATATTCTCAATTGAATAGCTACTGTAATGAGATGTAGAAAAGCAGGAAATAGTTTAGATTCGTAATTGAAAGCACAGCAATCTAATTTATCTGGATAGTCATAAGGTGTCCATCACTTCAGTGTCTAGGATCATCACTACTGTACAAAAGTACCCCCATCCCTCATGTCTGTTTTTCTACATGGGATTGTCTTCAGAATCAATATTTCTGAGCCATTCTGGAACTTTTCATTACTGAGGGAAAGCAAGTGGAATGAGAGCAGTCATTGTGCCTTCAAGGTAGAGTGCTCTATCACCTGTCCCCAAAAATTGCACCTTGGGAACAGAGTTTCTGGTGAACATGGCTGTTGTGGCAAGTCACTGAGAGGACATCTCTGAGGCAGTTAATCTTTAACCCACTAAGGACTTTAAAAATTAGGACCAGGACTTTGAAGTGCAGGAAGATCCAGTGTAGAATGTGGAACAACAATGTAATGTGATTTTGACAAACTGTCTTACCAAGAAGGCAGCCCAGTGCATGCTGAGCTTCTTCCAAGAGTCTGTGTGGTCCAGAAATAGGACACTGGATTGGGAGTCAGGAGACCTGGGTCTATTTATAGATCTGCCACTGACCTGCTGTGTGACCTCAGTCAAGTCAGTTTACTTCTCTGTGCCTCTGTTTCCCTTCCCAATCCTTGCCTATTTAAAATGTAAGCACTTCAGGGCAGGAATGGCTTCTTGCTGTGTGTTGACACATTGCCTAACAATGTGGGATCTAAAACATCCTCTGGTCTAGTGTGTACTGGGAGGTCTGAGGTCAAAGGCCAAGAGCTGACAACCCACCTGATTGCAACATGTTCCTGACAACTACCTGAATGTAGGACAGAAGTGCAAGTCTTAGAGTTTTTCTGATGAAAAAATAAAAGATTGAAACAGTTTCCAGTATACTGGCAGTTAAACTGATGGCCCCCAGTCAAACAGCTATGTTTGCCATCAGATTACTTAATTTCCTTTCCTTGTACCATTTTACATTTGAATTTTATCCTACAGATTTCCATTTTTGCATAGGTCATGCAAGAGAATCCCTCCACAAGTTATTCCTAAAATCCACATTCAAGCAAAGCCCTCTCATTTTCAATGTTATGTATTTTTGGTGCATTTCACAAAGTACAGTGGGTTGAGAGAATATGCAGCATTAAGAAGTCTATTATTCAAAACATAGTCATGGAAATTTGTCCCCTATTTTGAATCAATCAGAAGGGCTAGAAAACATTAATCCTCTACACCAGATTATGTAAAAACAAAATTAAGATGTATATTTTATACTGCTGAGAAAATTCTTTCTTGCATCTGTTAAGTTTATAAATATGAGCCAAAATGGCAAAGTATTCATGAAAAGAATATTGATATTCTAGTGTTCAATAAAAGCTTTCCAACAATACGTAACTATATAAATCATACCAAATTTTATGTTTAATTGCTGTAATTATGAAATGTCTCTCCTTCCCCAGAAATACAAATATTGTTTCCCAAGGCTCAGACATTTAAAATATTTCTAGCATTATTCATGTTTTTATACAATTCCTGATCCCCTCTTTTCTGGAACCATGACAGCAGACCTTAGGAATGGTTCCCCTTCCCAGGTTGCCACTGCATGCATCTTCAGACAATGGCACTGCTGCTGCAGCCCATGTCTCTCCCCAGCCCCAGTATTGAGTTTGAAGAACCAGTACCCTTCCTGAGTACACCTTCTTCCTGACATCACCCCTTAAAGTAGATAGGGGAGACTCACTGCCTCAATGCGACCCTCTTTGCCTGCTAGGAGACTTGCCCACTTCAATAACAAAAGGGTTACCTACTCATTTCCCAATCGACCCACCAGTGGACCACCAGAGAAGGTCCCACTGCCCATCTGAATAACCACCCCGTAAGCCAAAGGTCACAAAATGACCTGTTGACACCAACACTGTTGCTGACAGGCACAGCTGCCTGGTATGGAGAGCTACCTAGTAAAGGCTTCTAGAGATGCTAGGGGGAAGCACTGTGGGTCAAAAGGGATGGGAGTGAAAGGACTGATGGATTTGAGAGGGAGGGTGTGCACTTCTTCAGGGGATGGCAGTGGAGGAAGAGTATTAACCTACGGAATGTTGCATGTATCTCCAACTGAAGTGAAAGATTTTGAGAGACCCCCCTGCTATGCTTTCAGCAACATCTCACTGTAATGTGGCCCTCCAAAATACAGATTCACAGTGCAGCCCCAGTTATTATCCTTTACTCTTTCCCAACAGAGAAAGACCCTGATCAAAATCCCCAGGATGCTAAGTAAGCATTCAAATATACAAACAAGCATTCAATAAATATGTGAATATGCATTCAAATTCAAACAAGAGTAAAGGGTTTGGTTTTTTTTATTCAAAACTGAACATTGACTAGTATAGATGACACTTTTCATCTGGAGGATACTATACATATGTAGTGCCTCCCTACCTCTGGACAAGGGAGTTTGGGAAAGGGCTGGTTCTTCACGATGACATCAAGGAAGCTGGAGAAACTTAAAGGGGCCTCACTCATCTAATTCACTATTGCTATCTAACAAATCTGAAATGATCAGCCAGGACACATCAGACTCAGGGCCCACTGGACTGAAGACCCATTTCCCCCACTACAACTTGAAAGTGAGAAACAATCACCCACAACAACCTCTCCTAAATGCCCAAGAATATAATTAAAATAAACAAATAAATACAGGGACTCTACTCCTGATCTCCCTCGCTGTCTCTGACAGCAGCTGTTGGCGTTTACTGAAGGCTTTGGGCTTTCAGTAACTTCTGCAGGTCAAACATGAGGAAAAGAAGGATTTGCTGAAAGACCACAAGGAGTTCCCCATGTCCCCAAGCAGCTTTGCAAGACACCCTTATGTTACCTTACACTTTGGCTAGACCTTAGTCAGGATCAGTTGGCTTGGCATGGGGCCTACTTATGTGACCTGCAGAATTTATAGATTTATGCACTCCTGACAACCACACAATCAGGATTTAACCCTAAAGAAACTATTTATTGGATTAGGACATATGGTTCTCTTTTTTCCTTTAAGCATAAGGCAGCATGGCCTAACAAATGAAATCACGAAATGTCTCCAACAATTTGGAGGAAATGAAGGAAATCATTAAGTATAATGATTACAGTCAGATTAATTTTTTAAAGAAAGAAAATAAAGACTAATATGATTTTAATTAACTTCCAAATGATTTTCACTCAAACATTTGGATTGTTCAGTTCAATTTTCTGATTTCTAATTATCCAGTAATTAAAAAAACACCCCTTTTAATAGGTGGGTACATTAAACATATACAACATTGTTTTGTTGGTTTATAAACTTTACTCCCAAAAACAAACCTGAGCTGAGAAGCCACAGAAGAAGCCAAACCAGAAATGCACCAGAGTGAAGGCAAAGTTTTTGTAGAAGAAATAACACAAGAACTTGCACATTCTGAAATAGGACCACCTGCCATGAACAAGCAGGAGCCGCTTAAGGTATCTGAACTGGGCAAAGGAGTAATCGCTCGCCAAGACTGCTTGCATTCCTTCCTCACCACTGATGCCAATGCCTATGTGTGCGCCTGTAAGTAAAAAAGAAGCAGAAATGTGTCTCTACTAAGTATTTGAAAAAGACACATTCATTTGCTAAACTATCACAGTGAGCATTCTGTTTAGTGAGACATAAGCAGATGTCAGTTTTAAGGTGATCCCTGCCTTACAAGGTAATAACAGTTTCCTGAGCTACTGAAATGATGAGGTAGAAAGCAGAGAAGTTATCAAATCAACAGGGAACACCCACTAAGTTAGCATTATTATTACTATTATACTGAATCATGCACTCCTGCCTCTCACCCTCAGCATCTTGGGAAGCATTAGCCGCCTCTTTAATTTAAAATAATTTTTGTTATGATTATTTTTAAAGCCCCCATAACTCTCCCTTCCTCTTTCAACCCATCTTCCTTCCTTCTCTCTGGAAGCAAAAATGTTTATTTTGCCCATTCTTTGCCCATTTTGAATAGGTGAATTGGAAGAGGGCCCTGCTGTTATTGAAGCTAACGCAGAAACCTTTTAAAATAAATAAAATTTAGTTTTTAAAAATCCAACTCGAGTTTGAGATATAGCAGTAGTCAGGTAACTGTTCACCAACCGTGTACTCAGACTGGCTCAAACCATTCAATTTCAGTCTAATGGGCTCTGAATATAAGGTGGGGCCGAACCCTGCCATTTATCTGCTTGAAGAAATGCCATTGGAATGTAGGATTCTATACAATGGCAGGATTGGGTGACAGTTAGCAAGCAGATGAGATATTGTAAGCAACCAACACAATACATTAGCAGCTATGTAAGGCATCTTACTATTTTATTTTAAGGGCTGCCCATTAATGAATTATAAAGGCAATATATTTATTGTACAACCTGCTTTCACAGTAGCATATTTTAATATACAAAATATCTTCCAAGTAACTGACACTACAATAAAAGAATTTACAGTAGTTACTAATGCTGTACTTGTGAATTGTATTCTGCCATGCAAATACTGTAAAATACAAGATGTTTCTTCATGGCTGTATTGCACCCTCCACTTAATCAGGACACAATTCAATTGGGATACTCCCCAGGATAGCCAAGCTATACTACCAAGGAATTCTACTTAATTGGGATGCCAACATATGAGTAGTGGTACTCAAATAGGGATACTATGTCTTTATTATGTTCAGAGGCTGATGGTGCTTTGACACCCTTCCAAAATCCTTGGCCTCTGTCAGTGCTCGTTTACCAAAGCAGAAGTGTTTTAACAATCTCCCTCCAGGCTCTTTGAAACACTGATGAAAATTAACCCTTTTAAGGATGGAAATAGTACAGGACTGCTAGGATGCTGGAAGGCCCTGAATTTGGTAGTTCAATTTTAGCTCCATCTGGGTGAAAATAACTGTTGATGTTCTGTGTGGTGTTGTTTGTTTTGTAAGTGACAGACGTGTAACATCTTTATTTCTTCAGAGAACCAGCAAGTTAAATGTGAACAAAACAAAGCAATTTGAGAACCATTTCAGATACAAGCAAAAACCGGTTAGTCAGAAATTCTCCTTAATCAGAATGAAAGGTGAGCCACTTGGGTATCCCAGTTAAGGTGGATTCAGCAGTTATTTATCAAATGCTTATAAATACGAGTTCATTGATAGGCAAACCTTAGCATGTTATTGGCATTTCTATTTATGCTTTTAACTGAACATTATGACACAATTTCCTCTTACTTTTGATCATGCTAACGTCATTGGCTCCATCTCCTATGGCCAAGGTGACTGCCTTCCTGTGCTTCTTAACCAGCTCTACCACTTGTGCTTTTTGTAAGGGAGTCACTCGACAACAAACCACAGTTTTACACAAGCAGGCAACTTCCACAAATTCATTCTCCAGATTAGCCTCAAGTGCATGAGCCTGCAATACAAAGTATTCCCTATCAGAATACTGGTTCTGTAGCTATAATCAATAGAAGATGTGATAGATGGGAAATGAGAATTCTTTGCATATAATAAATAGGATTCATCACTTTTCAATAAACTGATTTCAAAAGTTTTTTTTAAACAGCTGAAGCCTTTAGTGGAAGATACCACACATCTCCAGTAAACACAATAAATCAGTCTCGTAAGTGTATACAGTAAATATATACATACACATAACCCATACAATCCTAACACACAATGAGAGCGAAGCTACATTTTGATGTGAAATACTTGATTTAATTACACGTTCAAAACAATATTAACATAGGGGGAAGAAATAACCTAAAATTGGATACATTACAGTTATTTCAGTCCAGCGCTTGACTTTCCAGCTAACTTTATGAGAATTTAAAAGGGCCTAATCCAGTGAATCATCAGCTCCACTGCAAGTATTTAGCTGCAGATACTCCATGTATCTTTGTGGTTCAGCACCCATGGAGCCTCTTCACAATTCAGACACAGTAAAATGCTGGCAACTATCATTAAATAAAGTCTGGCCAAACTCTGTGGTCTGCCTCTCTCCTTTGGATTCACATATAGCTAATCCAACTGTATGTGGCATGTGAGCAGGGTCACTGGAAAAATGCATAAAATGTTCCCATTTTGACATATATTATGCGGTTTTATTTACTGTGTGACAATTTTTCCATTAAACTGGAGGAGGCAGAGGAAACCTTCTGAAAGCCCCAGGCAAGAAAAGGACAGGGATCTCTTCAAAATCATGGGAGAGGAAAAATTTCAGGTTATTGATTTAGATATTATGATGATGATGGGGGGGGAAGAATACACAAGGAATGGGGGAAAGAGAATGCTTTTCCAGATCTTTGAAAAGGCTCCGGGGAAAGGACTGAGGCATGAGCTGATTGCCTTTTAGATATCTCCAAACAAAAAGGGTAACTAGAAACTTTCTCTTCTTTCCCAATTCTAATCTTAAACTCTGCAAAAACCAGCAACATCCATTGCTCTTCCCATTCCTTTGACTCTCTGATGACACTGCCAATGAGCGTGCCACTTAATGCCAGTTACGGTGCTTGCTGGAGGTGTTCACAACCGAGCTAGTGGTCTTATTCTAATCTTTTGACACAGGCTGCTAAACAGTTCTGAGATGATATTGAAACCACAAATCTGGACATAGGAGAGAAATAGCTTCTGCAGACTACATGACCTTTCTGTTGGAGAGGATAATCTGCCCTAGACCAGAGATCTGCAACTTTCATAACTTTCACAGTGTAGAAAGCAGCACATTCTTATGGCTGGAATGCAGCTTGAGAGAGCCATACATACTTAGAACTACCTTAAGTGGCTGTGGATGTTATGGAAAAACTTAAACAATATTCCCATTTACTTCTCCTTTTTCTATTAAGAAACTGTCTGAAGGCAGAGCCATTCTTATTCCCAATTTTTAAAAAGAAAATAAAGATCAAAGTATATGAATGTACAAAGATTATCATGTATCTTCATGAGCGGCTAATTTCTCAAAAGTGAAGCCTGCGCTTTTAACTCTCTTAAGTTAGCGAGTCAGAAGATCGTTTTGATACTTGTTCAAGATTTTGAACCTGAACTACACTAAAGTAATGTAAGTTTATTCTATTACGACAAGAACCAGATTTCCTAATCAAAGCAAATTCTTTTGGCATCCCTGTAAAATGCTGATATTTAGAAAACCCACTGGAGGTATCTTAATGACATTAATTTGGTGCAGTAATTATTTTAAGGTCAGGTTGTGCTCTCAAACAACAAACATCAGGAAAAAATAACAGCATTACATCTGCCTAATTGCATTCTCTTAATTAATTGGCATTGATTTGTGATATTCCCCTCACACAAGTACTTAAACAATAATAGCAGTGGTCTATGTCTAGTTAAGAAGGGATAAGATTGTGTGAACTAGTTCTTACTATCGGGCCTTCTCAACTGTGGCAGTTATTAAAAAAAGCTGTGTAGAGTTACTCATTTGATTTCTCTTCCATACATATCCAAAAGTTAAGATGTAATTTTTAATTGTTTCTTGCAATTATGTCAGGCTTTGTTTTTAGCTTTCTTATGAAACAGTTTTAGAGTTTGGAGAGAAATCCGTCATTGTTAGAAAACAAAACAGACATGATTATTTGGGTTGGGAAGGAAAGGACAAAACCTGAAAAAACTGACTTACCAGACTATGTCCATTTATGACTAATGCATAATCACCAGTGACAGTTTCTTCCAAGACTGAGCCCTGTTTTGATTCTTGCATTTTTTCATAAAATACATGGCCATTGGAAAGGTCTTTGTTTTGTCCAAACAAATGTTCTTTCGCTTTCCTTAAAAGAAAAAAGGAATATGTTGTTATTAATTTTAATCAGACAGTGATTAATCAGAGCTAATTTCAGTTCTGCTGTTCTGATCTAATATTACATACAAGCAAATTTCAGTAGGCAAGAAGGATATTTCTTTTACGTGATGAAGATACTGTAATGTGTTTAAAATCCAAGAAAGTAGGTTGGGTAGGTATGAAGGTAAGACAATATTCTTGAGTGTTTTTAAATAACTTAGAAGTTAAATAGCAATCTTGATCTGAGTTTGAACTGAGTCATTTATCATTAATTTGGTATTAAGATTTTCCAGGCTTAAAAAAAAGATGAGTTTGGCACAGAAAATGCTGTAGTTACATTTACAGGAGCAAAGATTGAGGAGAAACTCTTTTTCCAGGAATTCCTGGCAACATTGTATTAATTTTATTTTGTAAAACAAAAAAAATATACAATTTCAGAATAACATAAACTGAGACCTTTTACAAATTACAGTACAAGTCCATTTATAGAAGTAAACTTATTTAGCACCTCCATGTCATAAGCAGAGATAGCCGAAAACCAACACATTGGAATGTTGGGAAAATTTAGATCGTAAGTTAATAAATCTAGTCTAAATATTTGAACCAACCCCTCATCTGGGTTCTGCCACGATCTCCAACTGGCCTCTGGGAGTGGCACCACCTGCTACTTCAGCTATCCATAGGGTGAAGCCTTTTACAGCTCGCTGAATTAGGCTCCCCTTTTTATTGTAGGCTATGTTCGTTGTCACAGTCCTAGATTTAAATTTTGCCCACAGTCTGTTTATTGCGAACTCCTCTTGGTTTTTCATAAAATTATCATACAATAGCTTTATTGGAGATTTTTTTACTTTCACTTTCTGGAAATTTTGTATGCATGTAATATTGTGGGTGAGGTAACTGTCATGGAGTGTGGGGGAGTCAGGGCCCTGCACCCCCACTTCCTGCGACTCACTGTGACTCTCAGCCAGCCAGTAAAACAGAAGATTTATTAGACATGGGAACACAGTCCAAAACAGAGCTTGTAGTTATAGACAACAGGACCCCCTCAGTCAGGTCCATCTTGGGGGGCAGGGTGCCCAGACCCCAGTCTGGGCCTCCCTCCATTTCCCCAGCCAGCTCCAAACTGAAACCACCTCCAGCAGTCTCACCCAGCCACACACCCTAGCTCCTCCTCCAGCCTTTGTCCAGTTTCCCAGGAAGAAGGTCACTTGGCCCCAACCCCCTCCTGGGCTCAGGTGACGTGCTCAAGTATCATCCCTCAAGTGAAGTCACTCCCTGATAGCCTACCACCATCTAGTATTGATGCAGACAGTAAGCCAGTAAAACTCCCATGCAACATTACCAGGTTAATACTCCGTATTCCCTACTTCGTCACATTAGTATTTTACTGGACCAACTTCTGCTGGTGAGAGAAACAAGCTTCTGTACTTCCACAGTGCTCTTCTTCAGGTCTGGGAAAAGAAGAGCTCTCTGCGAGTTCAAACGTTTGTCTCTCTCACTGTCAGAAGTTGGTCTAATAAAAGATATTATCTTACCCACATTGTCCCTCTAATATCCTGGGACCAACAGGGCTACAACAACACTGTATATATAGTGACAGATGTGGGACTACTCTGTAAATGCTGTATGTTGAGCTGCATACTTTGTTGTATGAATACACTGATTTAGTTTAATAGCAGACCATAAGGAAAAACAAGCAGGAAGAGAAGAATAGGTCAATATAGACCACCCCTCAGCTAACATGTGAGGGCTCTTACAGCACAGTGGCAGAGCCATAGGTACTGCAAAGTCTGGCTGGACCTCCTTTTGAGCCTACCAAACTGATTTTGTCCAGAAGAACTAAAGCCTGGCAAGAACAAAGGAAATGGATTATAAGGGACTCTCTCTCTCCAAAGAGGAGGTATTTGTTGGGGAGCTATTCAAGGAAGCCTGCCTGACCCAGGAACCTTCTCAGATCGCTGAAGACGTTAGGCCCATCTAGGCAACTATCGCTGGATGGTAGGGCTTTAGGGAAGACAGACACATGTATCAACTGTTTGTTGTTTTAAAATCCTTTTTCTCTAAATGCTTTGTTCTTACTCTTAAAATAAACAATACTTTGGTGTTTAAGAAGGCTGTTTTGTCACTGAATACCAGTGGCCACAAACTCCCGAAGAGAACAGCTGGTGTCAAACCCAGTCAGACCTGCTGGCTAAGTACAGTTGATCCTCAGTGTATCATAGCGCAGGGCACAGTCTAAGAGTTGGAGACACAGGCTAACATCTGAAAGGGCGCACTCTGAGACTAGAAAAGAGAGAGAGGTGCAGATAGTCCTGAAACCGTGGCATATATTTCTATATATTTTACTTAGATTATGACTCTGCATATGAAATATGCTGTGACATAAGGGCCTGCAATTACATTTAAGAGGCCCTGATCCTGGAAAGACTTCACCATGTGTTCTTTGTGCATATGAGTGCTACTATTGACTTCAGCAGCGGTTACGCACAGGCATAAAATTATACACATGCTGAAGTTTTTGCAGGATCAGGGTTTTATATGATGACAAAAACATCGTTTTAGGCGTGTGAAGAAGAAGATGAATTTAAAGTGGAGACTTTTGAAATGGATTATCTAAAAATCTTCTAATTACCAGAATTCTGAAAATAAACTCTTTTCTGTGTTCTATATAGTAATGTATGAATTTGTCATAAATTTGAATTTTCATATTATTGACCAAGATATTATAGACAGTTGCTATTAAGAAGTGATATATGTCAGATGTCTGAATCTGATATTCTGCTTTTTCACCTTTTTTTTTCCTTCTGTGAAATACGGTTTACTATTTAGCTTTGAATATTTTTCAAATTTATTTTATTTTTATCATTCGCTCATCTTTTCAGATTTAGAAAAATAATACGCAGTTGCTCTACAAGAATCTGGTCTGAACACAGCCTTAAACTTTTAAGACGTTCACATCAGAAAACTGCTCTGAGCTTTGTGGCTCAGATCACAATGTTTAACATGACAGATGTTTTATAAATCTGTTAATTTTTTGAAAAAAGTTTCAGTTATTGGTTCAGTGAATAAGTTGTTTTCTAAACAAGAGGCAGTTTCTGCATAAAATACCAAAATAAATATGCTGCTCACCAGAGTCCAGGATTTAATTATTTATTTACAATGTCTACAGTAAAAGATAGCATACTTTTACTTAAAATACCCAAATCTAGTCTGTATTTGCAGGATATCATGGTGCTATATGCAGAATTCCAGAACAACATGTCTATTATGCAATGGAGACCAGGAGTACCACAGCATTGATGCAGCTGGTCTCCTGGGAAAGGATGTCTTCTTTGTTCTTTGAAGGCCACCTGGCGGTTGATCTGGAAATGGTACAGAGACAACCAGTGCATTCCACCCCAAAATCATAATAAGGGTAAAGTCAAGGTGCTACATAGGAAATAAAAGATGACACCAGAATGAAACAATGGATAATTATGTGTGCTATGCGAGAACAGGAACTGGTAATAAGAAGTGCTTGCGGGGGGGAGGGGAACTTGCATATTGGAACAAACTTGAATTCAGAAAATATACATATTAAATAATATATTTTGTTGCCCATTTTCTGTCTTACTGAAGATGTGTCTTAACACTAACATTGATCTAAGCACCATCTTCTACTGGATCCTGCACTGAAATCAAACCACAGTGTTTACAAAATCACCATATATAGCCATGGAAATGACTGTAATATCATAAATTCAGTGCTAAAAACTTCTCTCCATTCATAACATCTCTAAACATATCTTTTAGCTTCAATGACACAACATACTGGGCATGCAGACTTCCTAGATGTGTTTCTCAGAAACAAATATGAGTATTTATGGGTTTCCTGTTTAATTAAGTCCTTTTCCAATCTGTACTAATGACTCAGTTTCTGCTTTTTTTCCTCAGTAGCATATTCCCCAAAGGGTAAAATGCAAGCCAGGATTTACTTGTATTCAGGGATGCCCTCAGACACATGGTGGAATTCATATGGGTTCACATATCCGAGGGCAGCACTGCCTTTTGTTAACTAAAGCTTTTCTTCTACACCATTTGATAACTGGAATCACATATGGATATGTAGTTATTTACATTGCACAATGCAACTGCATCACCCAACTCTTTACAATCTTTTCACTATGCAAAACATGGTACACATTTGTACCTCAGTTCTGCCTATCTTCCATGTTTCCAAGATTGAAAAAAAAAAAAAAAGAATCGTTTACTGTGTTTCACCATGTCCATATTTGGTTCCCACACTGCTTTCTTGCTTGAACCCTGGCCTAATGCTCTGTGAGTGATTTTCACCCCCCACCCATGCGCCAAGCTCCACAATTCATACCAAAATTGATTCCTACATAAATAGTTTATGCAAAAATAGAACTCATGTTAACGTAACTCATTTTCATTGAATCAAGGCCATATATAATATATAATGCTTAACCAAAATACACAAATCACAAAAGGCTAAAAAAAAGTGTTTGTTTACTTAAACTGTTGTATTATGTAGTTTCCCATTATTCAGATTGAAGATATATTAGTTATAGGAATAGGCTGGGACTGAAATGCCCAAACCACTTGGCTGGTGCTAAAATACCAAGGGATAATTAGGTAAACTGATGCCTTGTTTGTCTGATACCCAAAATAGGCAAGAATTTTATGTCCATGGTAATTACAGAAAAAAAATTAGAAATTGCTATGTTTGGCTCTAGTGCAAGTAGAAAAAAAATACACAGAAATGAAAAAGAGACACAAGTAAGAGAAGAGAACTGAGAAGGAACAAAATTCTAAACGTCACTGACGAAAAGTAGAAGGGAGAGAAAGACATGGCCTACAGATCTTTAAACACATCTATTCAGTATGCTGTTTGGAAAAGATGGAAGGATGCTGCTGCCTGTAATGCATTTTCCATATTTAGTAACATTATAATAAAACACCGTACAAAGTATGGTACCATGTGTGCTTCCAGTGCTATTGACCAATACTTAAATACATGTGCAACTTGTTTCTGTATTAAAAAAAAGAAAAGAAAAAGGGAAAGGCTCTTCTCCTGCAGAAGAGTAAGAACTGAAAGGGCCAGGATTGTATTATGTTGGCATATTGTCTGTATATTTCCCAACTGTGCTGTGAGTGGTAATAATTTATTCTCTTCCAAGGAAGGAAATTTGCATAAATCTCCAACAGTGAAAATCATAATGCCAGCTACGTGTATCATTCAAGAAGTCTCAGCTACCACATTGAGAGAGGAGATAAACATGTGTGAGAGAGAAAGAAACAGAGGTTGAGATCTGTGCCCATGTCGGCACTATTTCTAACAGTAGTTATTCTCCAAATTATTATTACAGGGCCTACTCTAGAGACATTTCCTCTTCCAGATGAAGTGATAATGTAAGCATTAAGGCATATGGAAGGCAGCAGTGGGAGTGAGTCAGGGCTACGGAATTCATGACTATGCATATGCCATGGCCCTATCACCCATGCAGGGTGGGAGGCAACCAGTATTCTAGCTTGCAGTCTGGAGTAGTAGCCTCAGTTGCTGGTTGGTTGCCTTCAGACAAGAAGTTGGCACACTTTTACGACAATTGACAGAACTTTAACAGACGGAATCTTAAGGAAAGATTTGTAGCATCATAGGGAGAGAGTCTAACTGGAGTATACGGTCTGCAAGGAAGAAAATAAGATAATGTATTTTAAATGTTTTTTTACCTGAGTTCTTCATGCACTGCCGTTACCGTATGACCAGCCACTATGAAAATCTCATTCATGGTGTCAGTGAGCATGTTGCAGGAGTAACCAATGTTCATGGCAGTTTCTGAGAGACAATAATGTCAGTTTTGATTAGAATGGTTGTAGTTAAAATCATTACTTATTTATTTTGTAATATCAACAGAGCATATTGAGAGTACAGTACTAACATAATGAGAGTAATTTTCTAACATAATTACTGGGTTTGATATAAATGTACTACTAAAAATGCACCTTCCTCTGAGCTATATTTTATGGTTATTATTTATAGTGAAGTAGTACTCAGAGTCCAACTGAGATCAAAGCCCTATTGTTGTAAACACTGTTCAAACACATACTGAAAGACCGAAAAGGTTTCTAAATAAACTAGCCAGACAAAGTGGGAAGGGAAATTGAGGCACAGGAAAAAAAAAACTTGCCCAAGGTCAAACAGATGATCAGTGGAAAAAGAAGGAATTAGAACCCAAGTATCCTAACTCCTAATTCAGTGCCCTATGTGCTAGATCACACTGCCTTCCATATGGGGAGTAACCCATAGATGGTCACCCTTGTGCACTAGAAAAAAACCTCAGAGATTAAACCCATATAGGGTCATCATTAGAAATACTGTAAATGCTATTTAACTATATTTTTGTAGAGCTTGTTATTGAGATTAAAATGCTCAAGTACACACGTGCCATTTGAGACCTTTTTTCTTTCCACTGCGCACCTGTGGCAAGTGCCATATCCAAAGAATTTAGGACCCAAAATCATGCTGTGATATTAACAACTGAAAATATTATGCATACTGTGCTGCGAATCTCAATCCACAAATACCAAAACAATTGGTAGAACTTTTTAGATGGTTTTACAAGACATTATTTGTAGTCACTGTTCCATACATGACCTCCATCCAGGATCCTGCACACTGCCCAAACAAACACTAGGGTCATATGGAGAGAACCCTGCCCCCAACGCCATAAGTTACAGTATACCTCGCTGGAGATGCTCTCCAATGCCAGGGTGGAGGGTGTTCACCACAAGATCCAACAGTCACACCTCTGCCGTCCTCCCGGCATCCCCATGCACAACTCAATGTTACCCTCATTGCTCTGCCTTAATGTGCATCAAGCCTCTCAGAGCAGTGTTTTATTAATGATTTATAAATGTTAAATAACAATAATGTTCAAGGGAATGTGCTCCCTGCACTCCGTGCAAGGGAACTGTAGAAGTCTCACTGCATTTAGGGTTTTCTATCACCCTACCCCACCCCACCCCACCCACTTACCCCCAGAATTACGCAGTATTAATGAATTACCTTGCTTGTCTCCTGTTAGAACCCAGATCTTAATGTTAGCTAGTGATAAACTGGCAATTGTTTCTGTAACTCCTTCTTGTAACTTGTCTTCTATAGCAGTGGCACCTAGTAACTTTGTAAGGAAGCAGAACATTTAAGTGACTTTCTACAAACTCTGCAAATTCACTTAGTTAAACTAAGAGATCTGGGGAATATAAACAGGATAAACTATGTAGTTTAAACATCTACACATGGATAACATCAAGGCAAGTCAAACTTTAATACAATATACTACCCTTGATCTACATTCACAGCTTCCACTGAGAGCAGTGGAAATTTCCCCAAGTCTCAAAGGCAGTCTCCAGTCTAATTTGAATCAAGAACTACATAATACATAATTTCAGGGCAATCTTTGCTGGGGATTCCCTGGTTTTAGGGGGCCCTCAAGCCCTTTTCTTGCCCAACAGGCTGGCAGCAGCAGATCTAGCATCATTATCTTCAAGGTTGTAGTTTCTGTGTCAGCTCTTTTAATATGACTATATCTCCATATCAGTCTCAGCCAAAGGCATCCTTATGGGGAAAAAGCAAGGATGAAACTGAAGGCATGGGTATAATACCACAATGGGATATAATGTGAATTGTAGTTTATGCATTGCCCCTTTAAAATAAGCTGCAGAGACCAGACTCTGAAATATCAATATTCCATCAAGGCAACAAAGGGTGCAGAATTTCAAAGGAACTGGGAAAACTCAGCTGGGGGTTCAGAAGACGGGGCCAAATCATAGAATCATAGAATATCAGGGTTGGAAGGGACCTCAGGAGGTCATCTAGTCCAACCCCCTGCTCAAAGCAGGACTAATCCCCAATTTTTGCCCCAGATCCCAAATGGCCCCCTCAAGGATTGAACTCACAACCCTGGGTTTAGCAGGCCAATGCTCAAACCACTGAGCTATCCCTCCCCCCCATACATATATTCAACTCACATTGACTACAATGGGAGTTGTAAGTGCACATCCGAGAGTGGGATTTGGCCTTTACAGAGAGAGGAATTGGAAAGAGCAGGCATGGGAGAGGAACAGCTATCTGAGTAGACAGAGGAAAGGATTACCATCACTTATAGAGTAAAGGCAAGAGTAAGTTTTAAATTGTTTTAATTGTATATATTTCATATTGAAAGTTGGCTTTCTGGTTACAAAGCAGCATGGACGGTCTTTTCTGAAATGGAACATGAATGTGACTTGATGAGAGTTTTAGGGGAAAGAAAATGGCTGCTTTCTTAAATTTAAAAAAAATCAGGTAAATTTATATTTAAAACGAGTCAGTTAACCATAGGGAAGAATCCCCTCACTGGTTGCCTCGAATATCTTAAAGCCTAACCACAACTGGCCTCGACATTCATTAGCATCCTTTTAAACAAAGAGGGGCACTGCCTGAATGTGAACATATATAAAGACTACAGCAGTCTTGCTTGTAGCACAACATCAAGAACGTAAGAGCATAGAAAAGTATCAATCTATAATACAACATCACTTTGCAAATATACTTTTCCTGTGCTATGTCTCTCAGAATATACCATCATGTCTTTTTCAATCTCTTCATATGCTGCAGCAAGATATTCGTTCCTGCTATCCAGTGAAGTGTTTGCCTCCTGAAGTATTTTAGACCACTCTTTAAAGTGCTCTTCAGTCAAGTTTTTGTATGCAAGGGCTAAGGTCCGAAGGCCTTCTCCAGCAAACTCCTGTCGCATAAAAATAAAAGATGAGCAGTATCTATGGGAACAATGTGAACTAAATTAGTCAGAACCACATTATATTAATTTCCCACTCTGTTAACATCCGTCTTGATTATGGAGTCAATAAGCAAAGGTACTCTAAGATACCACTGAAATTAAATTCTCATAAACCTTGTTTCTGGGGGATTTTAACTCTTCAGGTTTCTTTTACTTTGAGGTAAGGTTGTGGGCACATTTTCTCTTTATAGCTAGATTTTGTTCTTTAAAAAAATAACTTGAATAATTTGTGGCAACTTTTATATGTACACGAATATTCTAACAAGAAATTGGAGTGCCTAATATTATTTTAATGCCAAAGCCGAATCTAAAAATTGGATGAAGTGAAATGTTGCAGTCAGACAGAGCTGAATGTGAATGGCTACCTTGGTATTAAACAGATGAAAGTTTTAACCTTGAAAGGCAGCTAGTGTGCCCAGACTACTCTCTTTAGCACAATTAACTTAAATACTTAGCACACTTTTGGTACTACCACATATTAACAATAAATAATAATTTCATTGTGAACATTATCATTAATCCATCATCTTAAAAGCATAATACCCATGTACCTAGGATGGCATCAATGGAAGAACTGTAAGAAGCTCGACCAGATAATAGGAGTAGAAATGTCTCAAGCAGTATGTGAATCACAATAGTTCCATGACACAGTATCACAGCCTCAGGTGCAACCTATCTGTTACGCTGACAATAGAGGCCTTAGAGTGAATGGGAGCTGTGGCTGCACCACATCTCCAGTAATCAGCACCCAAATTTGAAACCACTGGCCAATACGCAGATATGTGTACACAGGTTAACAGGTTAGACCCTTCAACCTAATCACAGAGAGAAACAGATGTAAAGCTGACCCCCCAACACTTAAAAAGGGTGAAAACATAATATCGTCTGATATGTTGGTGGCGCATGCTAATTAATTTAGATTCTGATCCTGTATCAGGATTGTCTGGTGCAGACTGCTGGGCTCATGCAGAATCCCACAGACAACGCATTATTTCTTTAATATAAAAATGATTGCATATATGATGTTATTCAAAATGTACACATTCTTACAGATTGCACAGCATATTAGATATATATATTCCCTCCTTTGTATCTTAGAATTTCAATGACTGATTTTTTTCAAAGTCAAACAACTATCATGAGCAATTTTACTGTTAAAAACCAAAAACATTTCGGGAACTGTCTTTGACCCTGTAGTTCATCTCAACAAATCAAACGGTTTACAATGCTCCACTAACAACATTTTTTCATCTTCAGTGAATATTTGAACATCCCCTGTTCTATTATACAGCTATTACAATTAATATATAAACAGGAATGATAAAACTCAGAATTTAATGGATTGAAAAAACAGTAAGGCTTTGGAATTAAATTAATATAATGGAAAGGGGAAATTAGAGTGATGTGAAAAAAACCATAATACATCAATATACAAGTACGTATTCCCTTAACTTTACAAGGCAAGTATGAAAATTCAAGGTCTTTGCATTTGACCAACTGCAAAGATCAGATGCATATGATTCCAGCCTTGCTTTCATAAAAAACATGTTGGCCTTCTGGAAAACATTAAAAGAAAACCAAGAAAGCTCTATTACAGAGACAAAAACAATAGTTATGTTTGTAACCAATATTACTAAACCATCATACTGTATACTTAATGTCAAAGGAGTATTTTTTTAAAGACTCATGGAATGGTTTGTATTAAATGTGGACACTTACAAAGAACATGAATTCTAAAAAAATAAATGCAGGAAATGAGGGCTTTATCCAGTTTCCCTTAAAGTTCACATTAGGTTAGACCCTCAAACTGAATAGAAGAGACTTATTTTCTTTAACACCATGTTACCAAACTGGATACTTTGTATCCACATCCACAGATTCCCACTGGCTTTTCACAAGGGACTCCAAGGACTTATAAACACTGTATATATACCAGCTGTTTCAGGAGTTAACAGTGCACACACAAAGCTCTATCATTTAATTGGATTTAGCTCTCTGGGCAGCCAAAGGTAAGGCTGAAATTTAAGAAATTCTGGCTCATTTCAGAGCAGAAGGCCTATTAAGGTATTGATTCAGAAAAGCATCTGTATTTAGGAAAATACTTAAGCACATGTTTAACTCTAAACGTAAGTCCCTAAGCACATGCTTAACGTTAAGTGTGTGTTTAAGTGCTTTTATGACTTAGTGCACATACCTCAAGATGATCTGATGTCAAAGACATTAATTCTTCATTGGAGGGATGAAGCCTCTCAAATAAAATAGTATCTGCTCCCTTGCAATATAGTTTTATCTGCCCATCTGGGCTTTGAACTGAAAAAGAAAAGAGAAGTAGAAATTAAGACTGAAATCATTACTTTTCTTCCATTTTCTTCAAATGTCTATTTGACCTATCAGGTCTAGTTAGATGTTTTCTATACATATCAATAATAGTACAGCAGTCAGCACACAGAAAACAATCCCATCACCTGGGTAGGAGTTAGGTACAGTTCACATACACTTTAAAAATGAACAGAACACATACTGATAAATTTTTCAACTAGCGATTAGGCAAAAACTGGAACCTCTCAAATCTGAACTCCTTTGAATTTCAGAGGGATGGGACAGGTACAAGTCCCTGGATCTGAAACCTCTCCATCAGTGTTGCTTGTGAATCAGATTTTTCTGTTTCTGCATCAGCTGTGCCTCAAAGTCTCACAGCAGCTGGGCTCACAAAATTCCACCATTTGGGGCTGGTATATCATAAAAGAAGTTTGCAAGATTTTGCTACCATCAAATCTGACTCTGAACCTTACCACTAATTAAATCTCAAATCCAAACCTTGAACTTTAGTCTAACTAATCTACATCTAAACCCAAATTCTGACATTCTCAGCCCATCTGTAGTTATTATACAACATTCTCCCCAAAAGTCTTCACAGAATCTTAGAGAGGAAGGACTGGAAGGGACTTCGATAGGACATCTAGTCCAGTCCCCTGCACTGAGGCAGGACTAAATATTATGTAGACCATTCCTGTCAGGGTGTTTGTCTAACCTCTTCTTAAAAACCTCCCATTACAGAGATTCCACAACCTTCCTAGGCAATTTGTTCCAGCGCTTAATTACCCTTACAGTTAGGAAGTTTTTCCTAATGTCTAACCTCAATCTCCCTTGCTGCAATTTAAGCCCATTGCTTCTTGTCCTATCCTCAGTGGTTAAGGAGAACAATTTATCACTCTCTTCTTTATAACAACCTTTTACATACTTAGAAATCGTAGAAGCTCAGGGTTGGAAGGAAACTCAGGAGGTCATCTAGTCCAACCCCCTGCTCAAAGCAGGATCAATCCCCAATTTTTGCCCCAGATCCTTAAATGGCCCCCTCAAGGATTGAACTCACAACCCTGGGTTTAGCAGGCCAATGCTCAAACCTCTGAGCTATCCCTCCCCCTTAAAAGCTGTTATCACATCTTCCCTGAGTTGTCTCTTCTCCAGACTAAACAAACCCAGTTTTTTCAATCTTTCCTCCTATGTCATGTTTTCTAGACCTGGAAACATTTTTTTTCTCTCCTCTGGATTTTCTCCAATTTGGCCACATCTTTCCCAAAGCATGGTGTGCAGAGCAGGACACAATACTCCTTATCAGCCTTATCATTGTTAAGTACAGAAGAATTACTTCTCATGTCTTGCTTACAACACTCTTGCTAGTACATCCCAGAATGATGTTAGCTTTTTTCCTCCAATAGTATTATATTGTTGACTCATATTTCGTTTGTGATCCACTATATCCTCCAGATTCTTTTCTGCAGTACTCCTTCCTTGGCTGTCGTTTCCCATTTTGTACTTTTGTAATTGATTAATCCTTACTAAGTGTAGTACTTTGCATTTGTCCTTATTGAATTTCACCCTATTTATATGAGACCATCTCTCCAGTTGGTCAAGATCATTTTGAATTCGAACCCTGTCCTCCAAACAATTTGCAACCTCTCCCAGCTTGGTATTGTCCGCAAACTTTATAAGTGTACTGTCAATGCCGTTATCCAAATCATTTATGAAGATTCCCTTAATTTCTTTCACAAGTACAGCTATTTGACTTTCTCTTTTTTAATGACACAGGTGAGATAATTCCTTCTGCATCATCTCAGTTTGTTTCTACTGGAATGAAGTACCATAACATGAACATCACTTTACAGCACAGAACCCTTGAGGAAAAAGCAAGATAGCAAATAGTATTATGAAGGGTACTCAGGAAGAGAATACCGTTTAATCTCAGGGCAATAGCTTCTGAGAGCATGTGCAGCTGTATTAATGAGAGCTAGCAGGGCTCCGGAGGGGGACTGATTAATTGTTGCTGATGGTTTTCTGCCTCAGAAAAGAAGCAGATTTATGCCAGTACGTACTTGTGAGCACCTTGAGCCATTAAATACCAGGCTTTTTATAAATATATTATGGTTGATACAGCATCAGCTTGACATTTATACATTTTAAAAGTATGTGCAACACCTATTTATGTTGTCATTTGCACCACATAAAATAACTAACCAGTAAAAAATGCTTAGCTCCACTAGAGAGGAGTAAGTCTTGAGCGAGTTCAAGGTGGAGAAACTTCCTCACTGGATCATATATCAGGAGTGATTTGTATGAATTAACAGTTGCAATATGATCCATACAAATAGTTTAAATATTTCCACTTTATGCCTAATATTTACATTGCCGTCCACAAATACATTGAACTATCATTTTGAAAGAAGTTTTTTCTGCATAATGTATCTTTTGTGTTGTCTCTGCCCAGAGAACGTATTTTTGAAAATAGTTTAAGGTTAATCAGACAAACTGTTTTTGATTTACAAGGTGTCAAGGTCCCAGTTTCCCTCCATTCCAAGGATATCTGGGAGGTATCTGGGCCTGCGGACCTCTGGTGTGATTCCGGTGCAATGAACTGTAATCTGTTGGGGTTCTTGGGGCAGTTGGCCTTTACATGCCCCAGCTCATTACATTTAAAACATCGTCCAGCTGACGGGTCACTGGGGCGAGGTGGGTTGCTGGAGAACAGGGTGGTGGGGCTTTGGGCGGCCCTCGGTAATAGGGTGTGGTCTGGGGTTGTCCCTTCTGGTGTCCACTCCAACTGCGACCAGTTTTCTTCTTCTCTGCCACCTCCACCCATCTGGCTCCAATCTCTCCTGCCTCGATTACAGTTTTGGGCTTCCCATCTAGGATGTATCTTTCTATTTCCTCAGAAACACCCTCTAAGAATTGTTCCATTTGCATTAGGAAGGGCAAATTTACTGGAGACTCACCACTTGCTCCTGATATCCAGGCATCCCAAAGTTTCACAACGTGGTAGGCATGTTGGGTAAATGACACGTCTGGTTTCCACCTTAGGGCTCTGAACCTCCGATGAGAATGCTCGGGTGTTATCCCCATTCTGACTCTTGCCTTGGATTTAAACAGTTCATACTTGTTCATGTGTTCTTTAGGCATTTCAGCTGCCACCTCAGCTAAGGGTCCACTGAGCTGTGGCCTCAGCTCTACCATGTATTGGTCAGTAGAAATGCTGTACCCAAGGCAGGCCCTTTCGAAGTTTTCTAAGAAGGCCTCAGTATCATCACCTGCCTTGTAGGTGGGGAACTTTCTGGGATGGGAAGTGGTACTTGGAGAAGGATTGCTAGGGTTTGTTGGGATATTCCGCTGAGCCTTTATCTTCTCCACCTCCTCCACATGCTTCCTCTCTTTTTCCTTCTCCTCCAGTTCTTTGGCCCTTGCTTCCATTTCTTTGTCCCTTGCTTCCATTTTCAGCCGCATGAGTTCTATCTGTCTTTCATGTTCCCTTTGTTTTTCCGCAGCCTGAAATCTGGCTAATTCCAGCTTTTGTCGAGCCGTGGATTTTGTCATTCTAACCTCTCTGTTTTTAACTAACTTTACACCCAAGGTTTAGAAATAAACAAACAAAACTTGGCTGTAAAATTTTGCTGTGCTGGAATAGAATACCTATTCTCTGATAGTGATTGTCAGCCTACAGAAAAAGACAATTCCCTTGTCTCTGCTCTGGGCCCAAATCAAAGCAAAAAACCTCCAACTACTTGGAAACCTGCTTACCAGCAGCCCAAAGGAAAAAAAAATTCCTTTTCAAACCTGTGCTCCTTGTAAAACAAAAAAATCAAAATCCTAAAAAAAAAACCCTGCCACTTTTGTCTCCAGGCAAATGGGTAGAACACCCCCCCCTCCCCGTTTACTTTTAGAAAAAAAAAAAACTTCTGGTTTACCAAGACTGTGAATTTCCCTGCAGGAGGCTAAGTACCCTGCCTCCAGGCAAAGAAAACCTGCAATTCACAAAAATAATCCCCTTTTGTCTCAGCTCTGGCTCCAAAGCAGAGAGAAAACAAGCTGCTTTCAGTTTCAGCTGCTTTCTGGACTTCCTTTCCAAAGAAAAAAAAATTTCCTTTTTAAAATCTGTATTTCTAGTTCAAAAAATCTCAACTGGATCTCAAAATGATTTCAGGTTAATCCCACCACTCTGCCACCATGTCAAGGTTCCTTCCCCACTCTGAACGCTAGGGTACAGATGTGGGGACCTGCATGAAAAACCTCCTAAGCTTATCTTTACCAGTTTAGGTCAAAATTTCCCCAAGGTACAATATATTCCACCCTTTGTCCTTGGATTGGCCGCTACCACCACCAAACAAATACTGGTTACTGGGGAAGAGCTGTTTGGAAACGTCTTTCCCCCCAAAATACTTCCCAAAACCTTGCATCCCACTTCCTGGACAAGGTTTGGTAAAAAGACTCACCAATTTGCCTAGGTGACTACAGACCCAGACCCTTGGATCTTAAGAACAAGGAACAATCCTCCCAACACTTGCACCCCCCCTTTCCTGGGGAATGTTGGATAAAAAGCCTCACCAATTTGCATAGGTGACCACAAACCCAAACCCTTGGATCTGAGAACAATGAAAAAGCATTCAGTTTTCTTACAAGAAGACTTTTAATAGAGATAGAAGTAAGTAGAAGTAAAGAAATCCCCCCTGTAACATCAGGATGGTAGATACCTTACAGGGTAATTAGATTCAAAACATAGAGAACCCCTCTAGGCAAAACCTTAAGTTATAAAAAGATACACAGACAGAAATAGTTATTCTATTCAGCACAATTCTTTTCTCAGCCATTTAAATAAATCATAATCTAACGCATACCTAGCTAGATTACTTACTAAAAGTTCTAAGACTCCATTCCTGGTCTATCCCCGGCAAAGCAGCATATAGACAGACAGACCAGACCCTTTGTTTCTCTCCCTCCTCCCAGCTTTTGAAAGTATCTTGTCTCCTCATTGGTCATTTTGGTCAGGTGCCAGTGAGGTTACCTTTAGCTTCTTAACCCTTTACAGGTGAGAGGATTTTTTTCTCTGGCCAGGAGGGATTTTAAAGGGGTTTACCCTTCCCTTTATATTTATGACACAAGGCTTTTAAAAAGAGGTAGTTTTCATTTTTAAAATTCTGTTCTATAGAAACATTTTGGGGCACTCATAACTCAGACATCTTGCAGTAAAAACTTCAAACTTGCTTTATCCTCTAATCCTCAATGAGAATTAGTGTATAATCATATAAAGAAAAGGAGTACTTGTGGCACCTTAGAGACTAACCAATTTATTTGAGCATGAGCTTTCGTGAGCTACAGCTCACGAAAGCTCATGCTCAAATAAATTGGTTAGTCTCTAAGGTGCCACAAGTACTCCTTTTCTTTTTGCGAATACAGACTAACACGGCTGTTACTCTGAAACCTGTATAATCATATGTTTACCAAGTTGAAATGCAAGACACTTTAGTTATTACTTTTGGTCTCCATATGTGTTTTAATTTCCATGAGAGAACTGGGAAATTTCACAAGCTCCACTTAATTTAAGCAAGCGCTCTCTTGCTTGCTCTCATATTAAAAAAATTTCCAGCCTTTTTCATGTGAAAACCCAATTAATAGATTTGCAAGTTTCTCTCAGTGATTTTTCTGTAAAAAATAGATAGGTTTCTTAATTGTATTTTATTTAAGATCCCTGGCTAATAAGTGGAAGGCTAGCAGAGATGTAAGGTACTGTTGGTGTTGGAACGAGAGTAGATTGGAAAAAATTCAATGAAACTTTTTTTGTGCATATTTGAAGATTCATCAAAATTGAAACATTCTACAGAGTTGTGTCAATTTTGGTGAAACTATGATGGCAACCAGGCAGGGCTCCAATGCAGCCTGGTGGGATACTGAGAACCCTGCCTCTCAGGCTTACATCTCCTTGGCAGCCTAGGCTCCCAGGGTCCACCAGCTCCAAAGCAACCCACCAGACAAAGTGCCCCACAGCCCATTCCAGAAGAATTTCAAAATGTTTGGATTTTGTTCCAAATTGGAACCAAATCAAATGCTGAAATGTCAAAATCCTCCACAAAATGGAATTACTGTTCTCCACCCAGCTCTAGTTGGAACCTCAGTTGTGCGGAAGCAACTGCTTCTTGTTATTTTGCAGGCTCCTGTTTGTGCAGCTCCTTTCTAAGTTAAGGGGGTTCAACATGGGAAGTAGCTTTCAAAAGAGATTAAACCAAACCAGAGCCTATTTTTCATCATGTCTTCTATTACCCTCATTTTTGCTTTTCTTCCATTCTCTATCCCTATTCTTCTCTCCTTTCATTTGCCTTCATCATTTTTTTCATCTGTCACCTGGATATCCTCCCATATTTGTCTCCTTCACCTTTTTCTCTCCATCATAAGTGAAGAAATTATTAAGTGATTTACATTTAGTCTTTGTTATATTGAAATTTTTTCCTAGTCTTAATTAGACGTACTTCCCTTGTCCCTTCTACTTACATTTTCTAATTTCAGCTGAAACCATAAAAAGTCAGCATTTAACAGATACTCTATGGTTATAACAAATATTTTCTATTCTAAGCACAGGGGAAAACTGTGGTAAATGTTCTTAAATGCTTACTTTTTAAAGGCAACAACTTGATCATTTCTTTGCAAACTTAGCCTGCTTAGTAAACTTTTTTTAGTATATGCAGTCCTCGACTTTATGATGTTCGAGTTATGATGAACGGCACTTACGATGCTTCTACACTTACACCCTGATTCAACTTATGACTATTGGTTTCAAGTTTATGATGTTCAGTCCCACAATGGAGTAGACTGTGGTTCCGAGTTCCAACTTACGACGCAATTGTAAGGAACCAATTGTGTCGTAAGTCCAAGGACTGCCTGTATTATTCTGAAAGCAGATTTTTGGTGTGGTTTTACACACTCTAAAGTTTTTTTCTAGATATACTTAAGATTTCTATTATTTAGTTGTTGATATTATTGATCATTTACACTTGCTTGATTATTGTAAAGCACTTTGATAAATGTTAATAGAGCAATGTAAAACCAATAAATCAATCCTAATTGTAAATCCTTATAGTTGCCGGTCACATGCTCTACAGAAACAGAGTGAGAAAAAGAGCAAAATGTATGGATTTGAAAAACTGTTTCATTATCAAATTTTCAGAAAACAAAATTCAATGCAATTAATAACCTACTGCTACTATACTTTGCATCCTTCCATCCAAGAATCTCAGAGTGTTCTACTAAACTGAAAAGTATCATAGTCCCCATATTATAGATGGAGAAAGGCATAGTCTAAATGACTCCAAGGTACCGAGAGTCTGTGGCAGAGGAGGAAGTGACATCTAGATATCCTGAGACTTCCACTTCCTTCCTTTTTCTAACCGTTGGCAGTTGGCAGGTTAGAGCTCTCACTGGTAGCTAAAAGCTGGCTCTAGGCTTGTGTGTCTTGCAAACAACAGGCATGAAAGAAACAAAGAGAAAGCTACATGCTGTACCTATTACAGACATCCTTTTCCTGATATTGTTAAAATCCAGAATTGCTAAGAGCTGGTATGTAACAAGTTTGCCCATTTCTTCCACAGTGATGGTCTCTGGGGTCCGGGACTTAAAGATGAAACCGAAGTTTCTGGCAGCGGTTACTAGAGCACCTTCATCTGGCGACTGCACCTGGTAAACCAATTCACCTACAAGAAAAAAAACCCAAACACTGTACGTAACCGAGTTTTGAGCCCTGCATTAATAGCTTCACTTTTAGTCCATTAAAGAACAGCAGTACTGAACAGTACTTCATGGCTGATGACCTCTGCTGAAGGCAGAGCTGCACTGTCTGACTGCAGTGATCAGTAGGCAGGGGGAGAAGGAAAAAAGGCAGGAAAATGATCTGTCATAAAACTTAGTAAAAGTCTTTTCTCTGGGACCAACTCATCACATTGCGAAAGGGAATGAGGTGTGCATTGCGGTGTCTTTTATGCTTCATCAGTGCAACATAATGATGTGGTGTCAGCCATGAAAATATTTTGGGATGTTTAATGTCAAAACCTGCCTAGATGGCAAGAAAACCAAAATTTTGCCTCCTCTATTGTCCAGGCCCCAGCTGCTACTGCCAGGAGGGCTCTGCTGTGGGTGGCAAGCCAGAAAAGGAAGTAGGACAACTGTGTGGGTTTGGAGGACATTTGTAACAGATAAGGGTTCAATTTCTGTGCACTGAATGCCTGGGACAAAGATACCATGGAAAGGGACTTCACATTCAGGGTGTGATTTCAGAGTCATATTCTCAGAGAAAGTCTGTTCGCTCCCTCAGCCTCGGAAGTGTTGTACAGTAATTCCCATTAAGAACTTGATATTACCATTGGAAGGTAAAAATAACTTTACCCCAAACAATTTGAAAATTCTCTTCTTTTGAGGTAAAATGTTGAAGAACATACCCAGCATATCTGAGCATGCTGCATCGCATGCATCAGCTGGCCTTACATGGCACAGAACCTTATGGGAATTTAGGGCTGGATAAAGCCCTAACTGTATAAACCTATAAGATATTGCACATGTAGATAAGGACACTGGACTCATTTTTCAGATATTGTTACTTTAATATATCAAATTTCTGTATCTGGATACTCCACATTGAAGTTAAAGGGGCATGTGTACTAAGATACACAGAAGGATACTCGAAGACCAGTATTCACATTCTGCCCAAGTCATACTGTAAATAAGCATGAAAGATATCCTTTTATGGTTAAAAAGGGCCTCTGTGAAAAGGTCAAGAGATCCGTATGATATCTAGCCAATAAACAGATGCAAATGAGTAATTTCCTCAGAATCAAAGTTTAGTCATAGCTACAAAACCCATCAGAAGCCCAACTACATGGCAGAGACAGAAGCAGTCAGGTAGCACAAAAATAGGAACTAAATTATTAACACACAAGTGACCAAAATAACCCCAGAAGAATCTTAAAACTAGGGCAGATGTCAGAATTTTTTCATTCTGTTTCTCACTCCTGCAGTCCTGAGATTGCTATAGAAAAGTAGAGAAAATTATAGTTAAAAACTATAAACTATATAAAACTAACTTTAATGAAATGGTAAAAGGTGGAATAATCAACTCCATGAAGTCAAGAAATTCAATAAACGAATGAGTCTAAATTCTTTTCCCCATTACACTAGCATCAAAGTCTCCATGGACTTTGATGGAGTTACTCCAGATTTACAGAGAGCAAAATTTAGCCCAGAGTTTCTAAAAGAGTCTTAACTCAGCTTCAGTGCACATTCTATATATTTCATGCTGAACTGAACATAAAACAGTAATTACTATTAAGATGTAAATTTAAAGACAAACATCTATAGGAAATATTTATTTGCATGCCCAATTTTTTCATCCAGTACAAAGTAGCTGAACGAATTTGGCTGAGACTCAAAAAAAAAAAATCTTTTGACTGAGACAATGCAGGAATAAATTCAGCCTAAAGAGAATTTTTTTGAGAAAGTTATGAATACATGAAAAAGGAGAAAGTGGGATGGCTACAGCAGAAACAAGAGCTCAACCTTATTTCATTTGCTTCTCAAAAACAAAATATATAAAAGTACTGCTAAGCCTTAATAATAATAATACTTAGCACTTCTGCTGTGCCTGATTTACATCTTTAGAGAGGGTCTTACAAACACTAATTATTCTTGCACAATCAAAAAACAAAGCATTAAAAAAGGAAATTGTGTCATGCTAGTAAAATGAAAAACTGTGGCATGGAAACTAGAACATATTGTACTAGCTCTCTTATTAATTAAAAAAATCCAGTAGATATAAATTTAAATACAATCCACCTTTTGTCACCATTATAAAACTCTGTCACCTGCCAGGCAAATCTTAGACCACAGTGCACTTCAAACTGTTCCACAATGAATATAGCCTGTGGAAATCATAAGCTTCTTTCTGTGGCTAAACTTGCCCAGTGCAGTGCAGAACTTCATACACAAATGCTCAAAAGTGCTTCATATTCTGGATATTAAAAATAAAATTTTCTATGGCACTATCCTAGGAAAACAATCATTAATAACTTTGCTTAACAACAAATAAATTTCTTCCAATTTACATACAAAGCTAGCTGGCAATGAAGTTTAACTATGTGGAAAGTATGAATGATAACAAGCCAGCCATTTATAATTTTTTATTAATTTTTCCAAGTGCAATATATATACCAAAATACCAGATTCATCACAAGCCAGCCATTTGTTGGCAAAAGGGTTATGAAAAAAGGTCAGATAATGTAGAAAATTTTCCTAAAGGTCTCATTTTTAAAATTAATTTGAATTCAGATAGAGATTTGGTTGAAAATCCCCAGAAAAGAGAATTTTTACACATGGAATAAATTTTGGGAAGACACACTATATCTACATACAAAACAAACAGATTGAAACCTTGTTTAAGTGAAAAACTGAATCCAATAATAACTGATAGAAGAGATAGGTTGTGGATTCTCCTTTTTTGCGTTTACGAAATTCTCATGGAACTTATCCATTAAATTTTTGGGATTTAGCTATCATCTCTCCCGCTAGAAGAAATGAAAAAGGCTCCATGAACAATAATATGAGCAATGAAATAGACTGATTGATCCTACACCAGATGAAGGAAGAGGACTGAAAAGAAATCAAACTTTCCACCTCCAAGTCACTGCTTTAATTCAACTTTAGTCTATAGTGACAAAGTCATTAGCAATTGCCACATGTTTATGAGGCCTAAATGTAGTAAGCTGGTCTCAGTCCGGTTCCTAATCATAATTGGCACCATGTTGGCAGTCTGAAAGAAGCCAAGAATTAAATGGGCATCAAGATTAAAATGCCCTCTGAGCCCTAAAGAAAGACTCTCTAGTTCAAATCACATTGCCAGTGCAAACATTCCCATAATGATCCACCATTCTCTGAGCTGAACTTGTGAATGGATAGAAACTGTGAGTGAAAAGAGGACTTCTGTAAAACAGAGACCTCCTGACCCACCTCTTCAACTTAAAAAAAAAAAAATTAAAGGTAGCTTGCAGTGCCCAAATGAGTTAGCATTAACTGGATACTTACTTCCTAATGAACTGGAAGAGTTTAGAGTTACTCAATACTTTTTGACACAAAATCCCTGACTTTTTTGTAGCCAAGTACTCCCATCAGTTTCAATCAACTTCAAAATCAACACAAAGGTTTTTACTATGAATTAAAGATTTTTGTACTGTTTGAAGTTGAAAAAAACATGCATCAGAACAAAACATAGCAAGACAATTACAGGTTATGAGATCATGTCTCAAAACAGTTATGCATAAGTACTAGCCAAAATGTGTTACATCTCAGTTAATCGTTACGATATGGTCCATTTCCTTTTGAATATGCCACAGCAGCAACATAAACCAATACAATTTGATTAGGTAAAAATAAGAAATTCTCCTTAACAGATCTACCTTCTTGGGAGGCAGATAGAATCGTTGTCTCACAGCTTAGAAACAGAGGGTATGTCTACACTACGGAATAAGGTCGAATTTATAGAAGTCGTTTTTTTAGAAATCGGTTTTATATATTCGAGGGTGTGTGTCCTCACAGAAAATGCTCTAAGTGCATTAACTCAGCGGAGCGCTTCCACAGTACCGAGGCTAGAGTCGACTTCCGGAGCATTGCACTGTGGGTAGCTATCCCACAGTTCCCGCAGTCTCCGCTGCCCATTGGAATTCTGGGTTGAGATCCCAATGCCTGATGGGGCTAAAACATTGTCGCGGGTGGTTCTGGGTACATATCGTCAGGCCCCCGTTCCCTCCCTCCCTCCGTGAAAGCAAGGGCAGACAATCGTTTCGCACCTTTTTTCCTGAGTTACCTGTGCAGATGCCATACCATGGCAAGCATGGAGCCCGCTCAGGTAACCGTCACCTTATGACTCCTGGGTGCTGGCAGACGCGGTACGGCATTGCTACACAGTAGCAGCAACCCCTTGCCTTGTGGCAGCAGACAGTACAGTACGACTGGTAGCCGTCATCGTCATGTCCGAGGTGCTCCTGGCCACGTCGGCTGGGAGCGCCTGGGCAGACATGGGCGCAGGGACTAAATTTGGAGTGACTTGACCAGGTCATTCTCTTTAGTCCTGCAGTCAGTCCTATTGAACCGTCTTATGGTGAGCAGGCAGGTGATACAGATTGCTAGCAGTCGTACTGTACCATCTTCTGCCAGGCAGGCAAGAGATGAGGATTGCTAGCAGTCGTATTGTACCATCTTCTGCCAGGCAGGCAAGAGATGAGGATGGCTAGCAGTCGTACTGTACCATCTTCTGCCGAGCAGCCATGAGATGTGGATGGCATGCAGTCCTTCTGCACCGTCTGCTGCCAGCCAAAGATGTAAAAGATAGATGGAGTGGATCAAAACAAGAAATAGACCAGATTTGTTTTGTACTCATTTGCTTCCCCCCCCTCCCCCGTCTAGGGGACTCATTCCTCTAGGTCACACTGCAGTCACTCACAGAGAAGGTGCAGCGAGGTAAATCTAGCCATGTATCAATCAGAGGCCAGGCTAACCTCCTTGTTCCAATAAGAACAATAACTTAAGTGCACCATTTCCTATTGGAACCCTCCGTGAAGTCCTGCCTGAAATACTCCTTGATGTAAAGACACCCCCTTTGTTGATTTAGCTCCCTGAAGCCAACCCTGTAAGCCGTGTCGTCAGTCGCCCC